TTCTCAAACCACTCCCTCTGGCATTTTGCCAGGCACCATCCAGACTTGTTTACGAACTCTAACATTCCCCTGGCAAAATGCCAGGTGTTATTTTGACTTGTTTACAGACTCTAACAGGGGTGGAGGTGGTGACATCACAGGAAGCACAAAGGGCAGCATGGCAGTGAAAATAATCAGCCGCAGGTTAAAGGAAACAGGAAGAAGCACAAGAGTAAGGAAATGAGAGTGCTGCTGTTATTGGTGACGATAATCAACAGAGGAGAAGAACTGATAACCAGCAATCCTCCTATTAAGAAGAATGGAGAACATGACAGGTAGCTTGGGAACAACCAGTAGCTTTCACTTTGCCATTGAGATCAGCAGGGACTCTCAGCTGCTCCCCAACCTGTCCTTGGGTGTCCACCTCTAGAAGGACTTGTGCAGGGAACGACTGTAAAACAATTTCTTGCCCAGCCGATAAACACCCTCCAGAAGCAGGATATGCCTTGAGCGCCTTTTCTGGCTTGGAGAGACTGAGCTTTTAATCTAATTACAACTGTCAAGACCCAGAATAAATCCGTCACCACTGCAGGAACCACGCCAACATTTTCAGCAGACCTCTGAACTCTTTGGGTCACGTGTGGTCCTTCAGATGCTAAGTGACAAAGACTGCTTTCCATCACTCTTATAATAAGTGTGACCACCAAGGACAGCTCTCTGGACCACAGAATGATGTCATTTTGGCTTCACTGTGGCTGGGCATGGGTGGCACTCTGTATCTGATGAGAGGAAAACAGTTCCTTCAGGATCTGGAAGCAAAGATGGTAAAGAAAGGCACCCGTGTGGCCTTTACAGAAACACTCCATGCCACTAAATGCATGGATCAGTGCTCTCTCTCTCTCTCTCATGACTAGGACCAGAGTGTCACCCACAAGTGTGCACAGACTATATGATGATGGGGTGTGGGTGGGGGAGCTTATTGTTGTGGACATTGCAGGAAATTTTTTTAAATGGCAGGGAAGATGTGGATTATTCCAGAAAGGGGACAATATTAATGTGAAGGTTACCGCATGCTGTTCCCTTTCCCTTTTCATTTCCAACCACACCCTGGCTTTAAGCACTTTCTCAAGGCTGTTAACCCTTCCCAACTCCCGGACTTTTATGTAAGTAAACTGTAGTTCCAAGTGTTTGATGGCTCACCTCCTCCTGGTTCACTACGTGGCAAAGTTGGAGTCTGACCACCAAATCCTTCCTCAGACTTTATGCCAAGAAATGCCAAGTCGTGACTCCAGCTATTCCATCTTCAAGGCTGTGTTGGTATGCCCAAGTCCTCCCTAAAATGCTTTTGGAGACGCTAGAAAGAAAATCTCCAGGAGATGCTGATCACCTTATATTTCCTCCCTAGCAGATAAATGCCCTCCGGAAGTAGGACATGCATTGAGCGCCCAAGAGCATCTACAGACATTTTATTGAGGTGTAACACCATGTTTCCATCTCAAGATCAGCAGGATCAGATAAAATGGAAGACGGGCTCTTTCACACTGTGTACAGATATCTCTGTCACTGTTATTGGCATCTGGAGAAATCTGCCCCTGGGACCTTCAGTTTCAAACTAATTAGAAATTATATCCAAACATATTTTCTAATACAGGATGAAATGCTATAAAATGTCTAAATACGGGGCTAGGGTTATGGCTCAGTGGCAGGGTGCTCACCTAGCAAGTGTGAGGCACTGGGTTCAATCCTTGGCAGCACATAAAAATAACGACATTGTGTTCCCTACAACTAAATATATATATATATAATTTTTTTTTTTTAAATATCTAGGGGCTGGGGCTGGGGCTCAGCGGTAGCACACTTGCCTGGCATGTGTGAGGCACTGGGTTCGATTCTCAGCACCACATGAATACATAAATAAAATAAAGGTCCCTCAATAACTAAAAAAAAATATATATATCTAAATACAACTCATGGCAAAACACAGGGAGATAAAACTAGGTTACAGCCATGCTTTTTCTAAGAATGCATCCAATGCAAGAAAATAAAGACAGCAGCTATTTCATCTGGAATACAGTATATGTTGTGGCACAAGCCCTCTTATTTAAGTCTAGTTTTGCAGGTCTGGCTCAGCATATTAAAATAGAATGTTCTGTGGTTTCAAAATGACCACCTTTGGCCATCTTTAGATAACTTCAAAATTCCTTTTAATTTGAATTTTTTTTTAAATGCCACAAAGTACCATTAAAAAACATAATAAAGCATTTTAATCCTGAGAAAATGTATACTGCACGTAAATGTCACCATGTATAGTGTCTGGCACACAGGAGGTGCCCTACAAAGATCAGAGCCTATCCCACAGCAGGACACAGTACACAAGATTCCAGGGCAGGGCAGCCCTTTTGTCTTTGGGTTCCATTCAATCATGACCCCCAGGGCACTGCTGCCTCACAGCACTGAGGGTTGGCAGGAAGGCCTAATCCTCTGTGGAAACAACAGCTGCCTTCCTCTTGGCGACATCTGTGACACACTCTTCCCCTCCCTTCCCTGGACCACTGAAGACCAAGTGTCCCTTCCTCCAGCCTCCTCTCTTCAGACTCAGAATACTACATCAGCATGGAGGCCAGGTGAGCGATCTTCCTGTAGAACGCCAGCAAAAAGACCTTCCATTTCCTGCAGCTGCAGGGCTGGGTCTTCCCTTATCCCCCAACCCCAGCTGGGTGGTGCAAAGCAGGACCTGTGTCTGGCTCAACAATCAACAGATTGAAGTTCCCTGTTCTAGACTGCCTTTAAAAACTAACGCCAAACTCCAAAATGCTATGGGTCAGGTCACATGGCCCTAGCATGCCTATTCCCCGCCACACACCCACACCCCCCCACACACACACACCCTTTGGCAGCCTTCTTCTCTGAGGGGCTCTCTGGTATTTTAGTTGTACCTGAGCTCTGGCAGCCACAGGCCACACCTTCCAACTTCCCCTCATTTCCCCTTTCCCACCATCCTGAACACGGACTTGAAGCTCAAGCAGGCCATGTCAGGGGCCCTACAGTACTGGGTGATGCAACGATGTGATGCTCTGAGGTCCCACATGGTTCCACGCCAGGTAGGGGGACCCTCCCACCCAAGGCCTGAGAACATTCAGGGGACCCCCCCCCCCCGAGGGCTTAGCTCAGGCCTCTTTGCTGCTCATGGCTCGGCCCACGCCTTCGAGTGGCCCCACTGCAGCCAGCACCCCACAAAACACGGGACAGTCAGATGGGAAGGGAAGGGAGTCAGAGAGGGTGTGACAGCAGTAGGTAAAAGGGACCTCTGCCCACAGGAGCAGGAAAGGACCTCACGCACCGGCCAGTCCAGCCACATGCTGCACAGGAGGAATGCAGGGTGCACCTGGGGAAGGCGGGACGCAGGGATTCAGGGATCTACACACCAGGCATTACTGAAATTGACCTTTATTTTGTTGTACTAAAACTTTTTGATACAAAGTAACATTTTAGTACAGAACATCCCAGGCTGTCAGATCCGTACCCGCCTGCACACCGCCCATCACAGCCCGATCTGCCTGCAACGTAGAAAAACAGCGTGCAAGCAATGCCTCGAGAATGGTCTACACTTTTTCTCAGTTGTCTGAGCTAGAAAACTTGTACCTGGAAAACAAAGGACAGCACTGAGGACTGAGACTTGTTTCTCTTTTGAACAGCTGTGCAAGAAAATATATCCCTTTTTTTAAAAAAAAAATGTCAGTAATGACTAAACTACAATCTAGTTTCTAGAATTACAAAGAATCAAATCAAAGACACCTTGCTATTAAAATGAAATGTTAGGAACAGTATTAAAATATAGGTCCTACCCCAACGACACTTATGCGGAGCCCGGTACAGTACCTATTAACAGGACACACTGTTTAAGGAGGAACCACATCAAATCTTCAGCCAGACTCGCCCGGCATGGGAAGTGCAAAGGAAAGAAAATGAGAGAAGCCCAACTGAGCCCAAAGTAACCCAACAAAGGCCAAAGTCAGGCCCATGCTGTGAGCCCTGGGACCAAGATGAACAAGGTCACAGGTTTTCTTTTTAGATATTCAATAGTGGCTACGCTAACCATTAAACTCCCCCTACAAGCTCTCATTCAAACATCTGAAACGTGAATGTTTTCACATCCAAAAGAACGGATGCGCCTGCCCTGCTCCACGAAGCTGAAAAAGGCCATCGGGGCTCTCAGAACCTCGAGGGGAGCCATGGCACGCGTCCACCCTTGCTTGACACTCTGCCTAGGACCCAGCCCTGCGGCTGAGACCTGACGGGGACATGATGGACCAGACAGAATGTTTAAATAACAAATACAGCTGGAGAAGAGTCAGGAGACCGATGAGCGCTTGGGGGGTGGAGAAACAGGAGGGAAAGGCCAAGAGGCGAGTTTGTGAGGATGCCCAAGCTGCCCTCCCGGGTATGGGAGGAAAACGCAGCGCCGGCGAGTTGGCCCCACCCAGGCACTGGTTCTGCCATCTCCAGCAGTCTGAGCACCTGAAGTGACAAAGTCCTTCCAGGAGAGGTACCGCCTCTGAGGAGCAGGAAGTCTGCCGAAGCTCTGGTCCCACTGACAAGAACCTCCTGAGGCGGGGCAGCCCGCCCCACCCCCCAACCCAGTGAGGTTCCAGGGTCATTTGGGGAACAAAAGCAACAGGGGGTGGAAGGGGTGGGGAGGGCACCAGCAGCATGGGGCGTCCACGTAAACATAACCACCAGATACTTAGAAAAGGCTTGTAAACTTGTGATCTGAAAGGCTCTCTGTGCAGCATCACTGATTGGCTGGCTATAGGAAGGTGGGTGTTGTACCCCTCTATCAAGTCTTTTGCGTTTTCTGCTTTGTTTTGTCTTAAAGCACATGTGAGAGGAGCAGTCTGCCGGCCTGGGCCCAGATCCGAGCCGCCAACCCCCTCTGTCTACACTACAAAGGAGGGGCTTCTGGAGTCCTGGTTCTGGATCCTTCCCCTGCATGTCCATAAACAGGCCCATCTCTGTTTTCAGCTGCTGGAGAAGAGCGAGCCGGTCTCCCCACCAGCGGGCCGGTCCAGTCGCCGCCTGGTGCCCACTTCCCCTAGAGCGGGCAGGCGGGGATCCACAGGACTTTACTTTGTTCTTGATTGACGGTTGCCAAGATCTGAGTGCAAATGCTCGACAGGGCTCCTCCCTGGACGACCCCTGCAGAAGAGCCCCCCAAACACACACAGGCCATTCAGCTCCAAGGAAACACCGCTTTGAGGTCAATGAAAACAGTGTGCCCTCTCCACTTCGTGCCCAACTTCATTAAGCAAGGCAGGGCTCCTGTCCCACCCCACCCCGCAACTCTCCTCCCTCTGCCAGAAACTGGGCAAGAGAAGGAAAAGCAACTGCCCCTGAGGAGGTGACCACTCCCAAATAAAGTGTCTGCCCCACTACAGAGGGGTGACACAGCACGTGGGAAGCAGAGTGGGGACATGTGGCAATATCCCTTTGGCAGAAGTACTGAAGTACTCTACAGAAAATAAGGAGAGGTCTAAGGAACCAGGCGTCCGTGGCCTGGAGAAGAGTCCCAGCAGAGGTGAGGTGTGGAGCCGGGGGACCACTGACACCAGGCTAGGGCTGCTCCCAGTGTGCTCCACAGAACAGCATAGTTGGCAAAGCCCCCTCCCCGCGCCCCCCCCCCCGCCCGGGCTGTGACAAGGAGCACTCAGAAAGTGACAGCATTTAGAATGCTCTGGGAATGGGATGGTGCAACTTTATGTCTGTTGAATGCAATAAAAAAAAAAAAAAAAAAATAGGGATTTTTTTATAAGTTGTAGCGTTTTCATATTTCATTTTTCTAGGAGTCATTTACCTACGTGACTAAAGCACTGGGCGGTGGTGAAGTGGAAATTAAAATCACATGCGTGCACAGTGCGTGTGCACAGAGACAAGATCACACTGGGTCCTGGACTTGCCCTACAGGAAGCACCATACCAGATGACAATGTTGCACAACATAGTTAAACCCCTGACCCCTCCTCTCTCTGGCCTCAGGCTAACCCCATGCAGGTGGCTGATTCTACCCCAGCGGCTGAAATGCAGAAGGTGAGATGGCAGCAGGGGAGTGGGAGCCCCGCTTCTGCGGACCTGGCTAACTTTACAAAGCAGAGACGGTAAGAGCACAGCTTTTCCTCACCAAATCCCACGGCAAAACTGGCCTCCCCTGGAGGGGTGGGGGACAGAGGCCACATGCACCGCTGGGGGCCTCTCAGGCTTCCCAAGTGCCCGGGACACTGCAGCTGTGCGGCACAGCGGCCTTGCTGCGAGCACTGGGGCAGACGAGGCCAGACCATGACCTGAGGCCAGCCAGGGGGCTGAGCCCTCCTCCCTGGGGAAAGCCGGACTCTGCCTGCAACTGCACCCCAACAACTCACTTGTCCAGGAGGGGGGCTGCCACCTGTTCAGACCAGGCTGGCTGTGGAAGCCCATGTCCATCCCCCCATCCAGGCTGGTCACCTACCTGTGAAGTACCTGCTGTACTCCTGTTCAATCTTCTGAGCTGTCTCAAACTGCTCTTTGGAATGCCTCTGTGTCACCTTGTCCCTCAGGTAGATGGGATCTCTCTGCTCCCTGTTGGGACAGTCGGGCAACCAGGCTGAGCCTCAAGTCTCCCCAGGGCGTTCGTCTTTGTCCAGGGCAGCAGGGGCTCCAGCAAGGCAGGGGCGAATGCAGGGGCGGAGGCAGGGTGCTCCACCACAGAGCAGGTCCCCGGGGAAGGTGGGCACCCGGCACGTGCACAGGCAGCCAGAAGGCACCGGGCACATGCGGGAGCACACAGCACAGGGAGGCCAGGCGTGGAGGGCTAGTCGTGAGCAGGACCGGGCAGACCCAGCCCCAGCCACCCATTGCACACTGAGAGGAAAGGGGGAGGATGGGAGGAGGGAGGCAATGCACACAGAGATGGCCATGCTCAGGAACTGGCCGGGTGGCCAGAGCCACAGCTGGCGTGGACCCTGGCTGAGCCACAGAGGCCAGGCACCTACTTGATGTGCTTGGCACTCTTGTAGTGGATGAAGATGACGATAGGGTAGATGTGCATGTGGTGCAGGCGCTCGATGGCGTGGGGGGCGACGTCCAGGAGGCAGTGTCGGTTCTGTGGGGCGGGTGCAGACTAAGTGTGGAGGGCAGGCAGGGGCCAGTCTTCAGCAGACATCTTCCGCGCTGCTCTTCTGACACCAAGGGGGCGCCACTCCCAACAATCCCCACCGCCTCATCCACCTCTACCTCCCTCCACAACGGAGATGCGAAAGAGGCAGCAGAGCCAGTCTCTCAGAGGGCCACACAGATGACCCGCAGGGAGACCTCACCCAGGAACGTCTCCCCACACGGGCAGTTCTGATAGCTGTCACAGCCCGGAACAGGGGTGAGTGGCTGGCCAGCCCAACTCCAAACTTCCTGTCCTATCTCTGCCTTGATGTAGGGACCTTCCTACAGCCCCAACCCACCCCAGCCCCACAGACACTCTGCCAGACTAGGGGAATGGGCACATGCACATTTGTGTGGCTGTGACTGGAATATATCCCACAGGTCCCCTGAGACTCCTGGGTGGCTGCTTTGCCAACACACCCTATAGCTGCCCCCTCCTCTTGCTGCCCAGTGCATAAACCCCAGGACATCAGAAGCATCAGATCCTGTCAGATCCTGCTGTCCTTCTTGGGAGCAGGGACCTGTCAGAATGTTGCTCCCAGTCCCTAAAAACTGCCGAGGAGTTCAGAGTCTGCTTTCAGGGTCCCTGTCCTAGGATGCCCCGCGAGAGGACTTCCCCCACAGTCCCGGGCTCTTCTCAGACCCCCTTCTCATGACACCACCGGGAAACTTGCGTGCTAGTCATGCCACAGGAGCACACACCCCGGGGCTCCCACAGGCCCTCGGCTCAGACCACAGGTACCTTTTCTGTGATCTCCTTTATTGAAGCCACCGTGGTCACATCAAAATGGCCGCTCCTCCGCTTATAGTCGACAAACAGGCAGTCTTTAACGCCCCGCTCAATGGCCTGCTGGGAAGCCTTCATCACCTCTGCAAGGCACAGGCATAGAGGTCAGGGTGCCCAGGGCCTGCAGAGCCCTGACGGAGCGAGGATGAACACAGCATAGCCACCTAGGGGCCCCTACTGCTGTCCTCTCTGGGAGGCCACAGGCAGGTCCTGAGTCAGCAGGGGGTTGGCAGGTGGACAAGGACAGACACAACCCAGTGAATGGGCTCCAAGGGCAGCCCCTTACCCAGCGGGCATCTGCAGAACTTGCCAGGAGCCTCGTTTATCAGCATTTCCTTCACCACATCCAGCAGAGGCCCCAGAATCAGGACAGGCCTCAGGGAGGTGCAGTCCACCTTCTGGACCCGCTGATAGGCCAGACTCACTGAATCTGAGGGAGAGAGCACGGCAGTGTCACGGCCCAGCATGGAACAGAGGGCAGGGGTAGGACTGGGCACCCTGCCCACTGACCTCATCACCCCGGGTAGGCCCACCCCCTTCACACATGCAGAGCCAGGGAGGGTGGCACACCTGTCTGGTTTTCCTGGGACTTCCCCAGCTTTAGTGCCAGCAGTCCCACAGCCCGGGCACACGAGGGCACAGTCCCTCTTGAAGCCCAAACACACCCTCCCTCCCGGGCCGTGGGTGCCGACCATCGCAGAGCTTCCTCGTGCCCCAGGCCTGCTGCACCTGCCAGATCTCCTGTGCTCCCTGACACAGCAGCTGTGACTCTGACCCAGATGTGCCAGTGGGTGACAGAGAGGCACCCTAGGCCCCGGCCCATGGGGCAGAATGGGAGGATGCTGTGAACCAGCTCTGACCATGCAGATAGGGACAATCCTTAAAATGACAAGCCTCATCTCACACCAGTCAGAATGGCAGTCATCAAGAATGCAAATAATAAATGCTGGAGAGAATGTGGAGAAAAAGGAATTTTTTTACACTGTTGGTGGGATTGTAAATTAATAACAACCACCTTGGAAATCACTATGGAGAAGCCTCAAGGGACTAGGCATGGAACCACACATGACCCAGCTATAACCACTCGTTGGTATTTAGCCTAAAGAATTAAAGTCGTCATACTACAGTGATATACACACATACCCATGTTTATAGCGGCACAATTCACAATAGCCAAACTATGGAAACAGCCTAGGTGTCCATCAACAGATGAATAGATAAAATGTATATTCACAGTGGAATTGTGTTCAGCCATAAAGATGTCATTTGCAGGAAAATGGATGGAACTAGAGACAATGGTGTTAAATGAAATTAGTCAAACTGAGGTCAATGGTTATAGGTTTTCTCTCATTTGCAGAAAATAGAGGAAAAGTGGGGGGGGGGGGGAAAGGTGGGGGCAGGTATCTCATGAAAATCAAAGGGAGATGAGTAGAGGAAAGGAACCAGGAATGGGAGGCAGGGAGGAAGGAGGGAAGTGCTAGGGAGTGATACTGTCGGTCGTGTGCATGTACGAATATGTAGCAACAAATCCCATCATACGTACAACTATAATGCTCCAATTAAAAACGGGGGGGTGGGGTGGGGGGGAGACAACAAACAAAAATGACAGAGCCATGTAGCTGAAGGGACCTGGGACCTAAGATGGTTCCCGAGACAGAGCTGCCTCTCCCCAGACCACCCTTCAGCTGAACCTGCACATGGCAGAGAAAATGCAGCCCCGTCCGGCTGAACCACTGCTATTTGGGCTCAAAGCAGTCAAACCAGTATCCCAGCTGATACATGAAGTGAGCTTCCCCTCCCACCACACGCACAAGAAAATCCTTGCAGGAAGAGACTGCCTAGAACCAGCGAGCACAGTGCTCCTTGGCGTCTACCTGGAGTACACCGTGTGCTGGCATCTCAGACACAGAAGGTACAAATCCCTGCCATTCAAGAGCTCAGACTCTGACCAGGGCCATGAGATGGCAGCACCAGACACCAGGGCCAGAGCTGCCTGATGATTCCAGGCAAGAGCAGAGGGCCCAGGGAGCAGTGTGGTGCGGCAGCACAGAGGCCGGATGGGAGGATTGGAGACCACAGGCAGGCCCTCGAGAACAGCAGGCTGAGCTAAGCCAAGGAGAGGGCGGAGGAGAGGTGGGGGACGAGGAGGGGATGGCTGGGTAGGAAGAACCTGAGTAGCTCTGCAGAACAGGCTGTGACAAGGAAACAAGAGCAGGGACCTGGTGCTGTGACAGGAGCAGCAACCCTGTGGGAAGCACTCAGGAAGAAGGGACAAGGCTCCCTGCCCTCACTGCACCCCAGCACAGGTTGTTCTAAAATGGACGATCATCCACGTGCACCCGGCTTCCTGGGAAGCTGTTGCCGGCCAGCCAATCTGCTGTTTGAAAAGCATGGGGAGGACTTGGTGGCCACATTCACTGCCCTGGAACCCCCGTGCAACTTCTCTTTTAAAGATTAAACCTTCACAGATGAAGCCAGCACCCTCCTGTTGCCCATCCCCAGCCCCCTCCTCAGCCACCACTAATGTGAGCGGAAGTTTACACTTCCGTGTGTTATTCTTGTAAGGGGATTGCTATATGCTTGGGAAAAATCTAGAAAATGTGTGTGTGTGTGTGCGTGTGTTCAACAAAAAAGATATGACACTGTACATGCTTTGCAATTCCTCCTCTCCCTGGGTAGTTTCTACAGCTTGCTGGTACTAATTCATGCTGACCTCGATTTCTTTTGAAGAGCCCACATATGAACCTGCTTCCAACCCAGGTAGAGGGCTGCTACCAAGAGGCTGGGGACTCGAGCAGTTTTTGGAACTCTCTAAGACTGGTGAGACCAATATGGAGCTTAGGACAGCTCAGGCAACCAGAACTGAGAAGCCACAGTTCCAGAGGGAAGGGAAGAGGCACAGAACTGAGTCTGATATCAGCAGTTTTCCATGAAAACCATCTGCCAAATTCTTAAGCTGTGAGGAGCAAGAGGCAACAGATTTAAGAAGCCATGAATTGCAGAGTCCCTGCAGTCCTGTGGTACTGAAGGGAAATGCTGGTGCCCAAAGGAGGAGGGGCCCTGTGCAACGGCTCAGGCGCTCAGATGACCCAGGCCCCCCGGACCAGGGTGAAGCAAACTGCACAAAAGCTGCTGCCAGTCTGAAGCCATCTCAGCCCCTGCCTGCCAGGTGAGCTGCCACCAGTGCTGGCTCTAGAGCAGGGGTCCAGCCCTCTCCAGAAGACAGGAACATCATCCAGGGCTCGGACATTCTTAGAAGTTCTGACATTTCAATCAACAATGTCCAGGATTCCAAGCAAAAAGACAACAGACACACTGGCAGTTTCTGAAACTAAGAACACACTGGATATGACAGAAAAGGGGGATAATGCCTAGGGAAAAGGCCCCAGAAAAATATCCAGGGTGGCTAAAGCACAGAGAGAAAAACAGATGGAAAGTAGAGGGGCACAGAGTGCAGGGGACAGAGGCATCCCAAGGCCTGTCCAAGAACTAAGGTGCAAGAAAGGCGAGAGGAGCCCAGAAACAGTCTCAAAGAAACAACGGCAGGACTTATCCACAACGTCAAGCTACAGAGCTAAAAAGTGTTAAGAAGCACGTGAGCAGGATACACCACCAAGGAAACTGCCCACGGGCAGACACCACAGTGTGACTGCTGAGAAACCAAAGACGCTAGAACAGCCAGGAGCAGGGGGGGTGGGGGCGCATTACCTTCTGCACAAAACCAAGAGAAAGCCCACCCTCCCCAGGAACACCAGGTGGCAGCCCCCAAAGTGCCCCCAGAATTGGCTTCCTAGCCCCCAGAACGTGTGACTGCTGCCTTCTATAACAGGAGGCAAGGCTCTCAAAGAGGAAGGGCTTTTCCTGGATCAGCAGGGTGGGCCCTACAAGCAAGCCATCAGGTGTGTCCTGAGAGGTAGAGGGAGTTTGGGGACAGATATGCATGGAGGAGAAAGTAATGTGAAAACAGATGACAGAGAGGTTTGAGGATGGTGGTGATGTGGCCTCAAGCAGAAAAATGCTGGCGGCCACCACGAGCTGGAAGAGGTCAGAACTGAGGCTCCGCTCCATCCTTGGAGGGATGCCAGCAGCCCTCCTGACAGCTGGATTTCAGTCCAGGATGCTGATTTTGGATTTCTGGCCTCCAGAATCAATGAGAGAACAAATGCGTGATGTTTGAAATCACATAATTTGTGGCAATTTGTATGGCAGCCATAGGAACCGAATATGCAGTAAGAGCCACAGATGGTGAAGGACAACTTTAAAGTGCTTCAATTGTCAGTCCTTGTATCCCTGGGTTCTGTGTGCATGGATAACACTGCAGACTGAAAAGATTCTGGGGAAAAATTACATCTATGTTGAACACATACAGACTTTTGTCATTATTCCCAGAGCAATATAATCTAACAGCAACTGACATCACATTTATACTGACTACATACTATAAATACCAGAGATGACTTTAAGTGGACAGGAGCATATGGGCAGGTTATATGCAAATACTGTGTCACTTTATATAAAAGGACTTGAGTCTCTGAATATTTTATCTGCAGAGGGGCATAGAACCAACCGCCCACAGATACCCAGGGACAACTGTGAACACCAGTCATAAATTTCCATATCCAAAGAGTATTTCTGAAAACAATGTAACACAGACATTTTGAGACAACACCGTCTTCCACCTAGGGTGCCTTATATGGTGGGAGAGAATGCATCACCCACAAACCTGCACTACAAGGCATGCTCAAGGGAATTGTTCACAAAGAAAACAGAACCAGAAGGAAGCACAGAAGTGCAGAAAGGAACAAGGGTGGGGAAAGGGCACAACAGGTGGCTGTTCTACAAACCCATAATGCTGGCTTGGGTTTGAAACACACGGAATTAAAGTGGTAACAATGCAAAAGTTGGGAAGGTGGTACATGGAGTTAGAGGGCCCAGTGTCACTAGGGCAGTGGTCACAGCAATGCCTTATGTTAGCAGCAAGTCAAAGAAGCATGCTATGAGGGCTATGGAAGCCCCCACAAGATAAAAACCAGTAACTAAATAAAAACCAGTAACTAAGAACAAGAGATGTGGTAGGAACAGAATAATAAAAATAATTGATTGATCCAAAAAAAAGCAAGAAGGGAAAGATAAGGAAATATAAAATGTGTTGGACAAACTACATTTTCATCAAGATTCAACACCCTGATTAAATAATAAAGGCACAAGGCACAGTGGTGCAAAACCATAATCCCTGCTACTTGGGAGGCTGAGGCAAGAAGATTGCAAGTTCAAGACCAGCTTCCGCAACTAAGCCAGATTCTTGTCTCAAAATAAAAAGGGCTGGAGATACAGCTCAGTAATAGAGCATCCGTCCCCAGTATGCAAAACAAGCAAACAAAACCCAAGAATATTGCAGATGTGCTCATTATGAACACTCATCCTGTTCGCTTTTCTGGACATGTATGTGTACTCTGTGGTACACGTGTCACATTGAAAAGGCAGACTGCCGTGTACATTAAAACACACACACACACACACACACACACACACACACACTGCTTATAAGTAGTATGTAAAGTGGAAAAAGTTTAAAAGGAAAAAGAAATTTGAGAACACCAACAAAGAAAAAACTAGTGGGAAAATAAAAAGACCACACAAAATAAACTTTTGGGCAAGAAACAATACTTGAAAGAGTACATTGTATAATGATAAAAGGGTCAACCTGGCAGGAAGAGGCAACAATCTAAGAGGCATATGTACAACTTCAAAATAAACAGTGCCCCAACCTGAAGGAGGAAAGGAAGAACAGGAGGAGGGGTACTTTTCAAAAATGCAAACACACCCACTATACACACGCAAACACACCCACTATACACAAACACACTATACACACGCAAACACACCCACTATACACAAACACACTATACACACGCAAACACACCCACTATACACATGCCCACACAGCACAGATGGTGAGGACTCTGAGAGCAGAGACCAAAGGAATGAAGAGAAAAAAAAAACAAGAGACCTTGCCCTGACTAGCAGGTCACCAAATTGAGTCTTAGAAGGGAAATATTTTAGGCTCTGAAGGTGAAAAGGCAAGAGGGAACCAGTCACCACCAAAAGGCCAAGGGTGGTTTCCACTGTGTCTAGAAATATAAAGTTCCATGCTTGCTTGACTCATCGGCTATACAAAAACCAGATCTGGCCCAGGGGCTGTGGTCTAACGACTAGGCTTGAGACCTAATTTTTAAAATATAGAAGGAAGGACTGGGGTTGTGGCTCAATGGTAGAGCGCTTGCCTAGCATGTGCAAGGGCCTGGGTTCGATCCTCAGTACCACATATAAATAAATAAATAAAAATAAAGATATAAAAAAAATAAAATAAAGAAGGAAGAAGGGGAGGCTAGGATAGAGAGGGAAGGCAGCAGCCCTGCCTTCTGCTGCTCAGTGCCCCGCACTGTGTCCACCTAGGAGGACACATGCTCTGGACAGTGGACACACGGGGTCCCGGGAGCCACGAGGGCCCCCTGCTTCACGGGACAAATATGTCCTTTCCACGAGGCCCACATGCCAGAGATGCCTGACATTCCCTGATCCTCAACTCCAGCCCTGGCCTAGCACCCCGCCTCAGGAGGATCTTGTAAGAATCACTGATGAATACAGGAGCCAGAGAGGCCAAAGACCTGCAGACACAGCAGCCCCTGTCAATACCGAGCACAAACGAGAGGTGACGCATTTGCCTACCCACTCCCTTTCCCTCCTTTCTTCCTCGCTGCCGGAACCTGCGCTGCCCAGGCTGGCAGTGCTCCTGCTAAAACATGCCTTAGGTCTTTCTTAGAGATGTGAATGGCCAAGGGTTTGAAAGTGGAAGTCGCAGGTAGGTTCTCCGGACACACTGTTTAAAGAGGCCTGGTCAGCTGAGACACACTCTTGCCTTGCCCATTCCCTCCTGAAGCATAGATGTGATGTCTGGAGTTGCAATGATAGACGGCAGCCATGAGACCTTGAGGATGGAAGTGACACCTTAGGGCTGGGAGATCAGAAGACAGCAGCACCACCCTATCTACACAGGTGCCCACCTTGAGGCTTGTGTGCAAAAGCCAAGGGGACCTCTATTGTGTCTAAAGTCCCAGTTGTGAAGCTTCAGCAAACTGCACTAGGTGACTTGCCTTCAAAGAGCGGGAGGGAGTCGTTGGAGAAGGTGTCCAAGGCCAGGAGGTCTTTCCCGTCTTTGGACCCACTGCGTTTGTGCTTGTGCTTCCTTCGAAAGAAGGACCGGCGAGCGGCTGCTGACAGCGTCTTGGCGGCGCTGCTGTCGTCTTTGACCTCGGACATGCTGAGCCTCCTGGAGAATTCTTGGTCCATCCTGCAGTCACAGGGAGTGGCAATGCTGGGGAGTGCCACGGAGACAGACCCTGGCCCACCTCCCAGCAAGGGAAGCCAGGCCTCCCCACACCACCAGGCACCTTGGGTACCACTGTGGTGCCAGGACGGGCTTTCAGAGCAGAGAGATGGCCACCAGGGTGCGCTCACCTCAGTGTCAGAGGAGCGGCTGGGGCAGGCTTCACCTGCTGTCCCTACAAGTTAGGCTTCCTGCCTGGGAATTGACCGGCACAGGGCCACAGGCTGCAGGCTGCAGCGTGAAGGGTGCAAGCCAGACACAAAAGGTCACGCACCGTGTGGTCCCAGCCCCTCCAAGTCCACGACAGGGAAACTTGTCCAACTGTCTATTAGTGGCTGCTTAGGGTTGAGGGCCAGAAGAAGAGGGGAGGACAAAGGGATGGGGTGTGCTGTGGTTTGAGTGTGTCCCCCAAAGGGCTGTGTCCCCAGTGTAGCCATGTGGAGGTGGAGGAACCTTTAAGAGGTGGGGGCGTGGGGCCACACCCCTGTAACCCAGTGACCAGGAAGCTAGGGCAGGAGGATCACCAAGTTCAAGGCCATACTCAGTAACTTAGCAAGACCCTGTCACAAAAATAAAAGGGGCTAGTCTGGGTGTCCACTGACATATGAAGGAATGGATAAAGGAAATGTACTGACACGAGAGTTTTATTCAACCATACAGAAAAATAAAATTATGTCCTTTTTCAGAAAATGGGTAGAACTGGAGACCATTGTGTTAAGTGAAATAAGTCAAACTCAGGTCAAGGGTCATGTTTTCTCTCATATGGGGACTCTAGAGAGGAAAAAGGAAAAGAGAGGTAGGGGCAGATCTCTTGAAAATCAAAGGGAGGTTGGGAAGGCAGGGAGGGAGGGGGAAGGGCTGGGGAGTGATACTGGCCAAATTACATTGTTACACTGTGTGCACATGCCAGTATAAAGAACTATCCATCCCTATGTGCAGCTGTAATACGACAACAAAAAATGTAGAGAAAATAAATAAAAATGCATCCACACCAGCAAAAAGAAAAGATTAAAGGGGGAGTGCTGAGACTGCAGCTCAGTTGTACAGCACCCTTGGGTTCTATCCGTAGTACTAACCTCCTCCACCCCACCCCAAAAAAAGAGGTGCAGATTAGTGGAAGGTGGTTAGATCACTTGGGGCTCTACCCTTGGAGGGATTAAGGTAGTACTCATGGGACCTCAGTCAGTTCCTGTAAGAATGGGTTATTATCAAAAGGCCAAGCCTAGCCCCTGAGCTCCCTCCTTCCTATCTTGCCATGTGACCTCTCCTTGTATACAAGGCTGGTCCCTTGTGTTTCCCTACCACACTGGGATACAGCCCAGCGGAAACTCTCTGGAGACAGAACCGATGGGGCAGGCACCCTAATCTTACACTTCCAGCTTCCAGAACTGAAAGCTAAAAACCTCTTTTCTTTATGAATTATTCAGCCTCAGTTAGTTACAGCAACAGGAAACAAACATAGGTAAGACAAATGGGTATGGAGCTTCTTTCTGAGAAGATGAAACTATTCTCCAATTAACTGTGAATATCGGTGAACACACTGAAGACCACTGAATTGTGTACTTGGGGAGTTGTAGGATATGTGAATTATAGCTCCATAAATCTGTTTTAAAAATAGTGATGCCGGGGGCTGGGGACATGGCTCAGTTGGTAGAGTGCTCACCTTGCATGCACAAGGCCCTGGGTTCAGTCCCCAGCCCCACACACACCAAAAATAGTGACACCTCCTGACTGGCCACTCAGCTTCTGCACCCTGACTTATGACACCACCTGCTTTTTGAACATGCGACACTGGCAACAGGGATAGCCCAGAAGCTGACATGAGCAACAGGACCAGTCCTCCAGGAGCTCAAGCCTGGCCTTGCCCTGTGGGACAGCTCTGTGGCCGGTGGACCCTGCGGCCCCACCCAGGGAGAGACACTCACACATATTTGCTGGGAATCTGCCCACGCTGGATCTTCTGGGCGTTCTCATCCAGCTGCCACGCCATCCAGGACCCGAACGTGCCCTGGGGCAAGGTGTCGTCCACGTAGAGAATGTCGTCCTTCCTAAAGCTCAGCTCATGCTCCACCTCGGCCAGCCGGTCATACAGGGCCCTGGACCAAGGGACGGAGGGAGCTCCATCAGGATGCGGCCAGTGGCCAGGGGTGCACCAGACTCTGAAGGCTGTTGCTCTGCTTTGCCCCCACTCTGTCAGGAGCAGGATCCCATTCTGGGCTGGCTCCCAGGCAGGACACCTTGGCTATCCTCCCTATCACTGAGGGAGCTTCTAGCCCAGGAACAGGCTGTATCTTCCTCTTCCAAATGGGCCTTTCCCATCCGCCTCCCTCCCAGGAGTCAAGGCCCCTGGTTCCCACAGACAGAAACCTCTGGAGACACACCCTCTCCCGCCCTCAGGACAAGAAGCGGAACTCATCAGCTTCTCATCCTTCCTGTGGTCTCAGATCGCAGGAAATGCAAAGAAAGCTCTGACCACTCACAGAAAACACTTGATGCCCTCCCCACGTGCCATGTTCTACATGGTACTTAAGGTCACCGTAGACACCTGAAGCCCACACAGTCTGCACATCTTGGTCAGGAGCAGATCCAAGGAAAATGGGGCTCTACAGCCTCCAAATTCCCTAGGCCCCTAACCCTAAAAAAGGGAACTCAAATGTTTCCTTAGGTTCTCAAGCATTTTTCTAACTCAAAAGAATCCTACCTAGGCACAAGTAGTGCCAATCACAGCCCCAGCTTTGGGCACAGAGCAGAGAGGCAAACATTCACCAGGAGCAGTCTCCACTGAGAGCCCCTGCCTGGCCCTGAATCCCCAGCTGCTGGTACCTGATGTAGAAGCTGTCACCAGGCAGGCCCTTGATCCTGGTGAACTCCTCTGGGCGGTACTGCACCTTCAGGCGGACACTGTCTTTGGGCTTCAGCATCTCCACGTAGACCTCCTCCACCGTCTTATTGCGCACATCCAGATTGCCATACTGTCCAGGGACAGAGAAGCCGGGGTCAGAAGGGCAATGGCCAGTATGCAGTTCTGGCACCCACCAAGGTGGAGATTCAATCCCTGATCTGAGACTGCCCACCTCCCCTGTGCAGGGAGGGCCAGGTCCTTATGGTCCTCCCAGAGCCTGAGATCTGCACACACTTCCTGGTCCCCCTGCTCTGCCTTCTACAGCTTCTCCTAGGAAAAACCCTCAAAGAAGGCTTTTCCCAACATGGCCCTGCCTCTTGCTTATGAAACTACCTTTACCATCTGTAAGCCATCCCCTGGGGAGACAGGAGTGCCATCGAGAAGACGGCAACCTCCCTAATCAGAGACTTGCTGCTGGCAAGAGACGCATTTCCTTTCAATGCCAGAGCCAGGACCAAGCCCTCGCCTTCTTTTGGTGGCCTGCCTTACAGCAGTGACACCCCAGAGGGGTGTGGCAGCATCGCAGGTTCGCAAAGATAAATAATCAGCCCTGTCAGGTCACCAGGTGAGGGGTGTGCTCCTCTGTCCTCTGTGCCACCTGAGATGGCACCAGCCCTGCCACAGGGACAGTGACCTAGCCCACTCAAGAGTACTCACCTCGAGGATCAGATCCCCTGGCACCAGGCCATCGGGACCCCTGGCAGGACTGTCATCCTCTACTTCGGCCACAAACACCCCGTGCAGGTTTCCACCACACAAATGCACCCCAAGGTCCAGTTGAGACTTCTTGATGAAGACAATGCGTGGTTCCGGGGTCTTCTTGTTGGCATCTCCCATGATCCTTTTAGGAAGGAAAAGGGAGTTTCTCAATCATGCGCAAGGCGGGAGGAGGACAGGAAAATAAGTGGCTAGAGCCCCAGCTGTTTCTGCTTGCTCTACGGGTCTCAGAGCCCAGGTTCCCCAGAGGCCCTTGCCACAGGCTCTAGTTCTACTGATGCAGGGCACGTGGCAGGAGGTTGACGGGCAGTGAGGGTAAAAACATGGCTTAGGTCACAAAGACAGTTGGGGACAGAGGTAAAGCCAAGGCCTCTGCTTCCAGATCCAGCCATGGCTTTCACGCCTTGGGAGGCATCGCCCGCCTGCCCTGCTCACCTGCCTCAGTCCTGCCTAAAGAAAGGTAACGTGGGTCTCATGGACCAGAGCACAGCGGCTCACTTAGCAATGTCTCCCAAGCAGTTTCTGCAGACCAGGACCTGCACCGACTGGGAAAGGGACCTTGTCAAGGAGAATTTAGAACCAGTGAGGGCAGCTGGAAATAGGCTAGCAGAGAAACCTACTGGAGGGAGTGGGAGCAATAGTGGGGACTGATGAAAGGAATCCCAGGAGGGAAACCAGCCTATGATTAAAATCTTACTGCAGGTAAGTTCCAATGGGACACAGTGAAGAATACAGAGCTGGCCTCATTCTGCGTGATGCCGAGGCTTTGCCTGAAAAGGGGGCCCTCTCTAGGCTCCTCCAGGCCCAGACCAGGCTGAGGGGCAAGCAGTTCTCATGAGGGCTCCTGCCTCCTCCTGATGCTGCTCCCTCCTCCTGCTCCCCCTGAACATCTATCTGCACCTAGCAGTCACTTCTCCTTGCCACATGGCTGGTGTGGCTGTACATATCTGGGCCCTGGCCTGTCACCTCCTTGGGAACAATGCTGCTGCTGATGGCCAGAAACCTAGGGCCTGGCTGGGTGATGACTATGGGATTGTGTCTCGAGAAAGAATCAGAAAATGAGTGAATGAGAGGGGCTGGGGCTGTCGCTCAGTGGCAGAGCACTTGCCCAGCACATGTGAGGCACTAGGTTCCATCCTCAGCACCAATAAAAATAAATAAATAAAAAAAACAGAAGTATTTAAAAGAGAGAGAGAGACAGGGCAACAAATGAGTCAGTGAGAAAACAAGAGAAAGAGGGAAGGAAAGAAGGAAGAGAGGAAGGAAAAAGGAAAAGTGTCTCCCCCTTTCACCCTGGACACCTGGGTATGTGGTCGGCAGCACAGTCTGAGATCAGCTGCCTGGCACCCACACCCCTAAGGGATGTGTTCCATCCCACTCGGGCTAGGTGGACAGAGGACAAGCCCACAGCATGCATGTGCTGACCTGGAGCAAGGGGTGTTCTGCTTGGCTGGGGGTGTGCCAGGACCCTCGTCCTGCTCCATGAGCGGATCAATGACAGAGGGGTGCTCTGGGGTGGTGCTACCACTGCCCTGGAGAGTGGCGTGGGCACCGGCAGGGTCCAGGTGGGAGCTAGGGAGGGAAGACAAGAGGAGTAAGGAAAAGCACAGAACATGTGGCACACACCACCCAGGGCCATGCCCCCACCAGGGACAACTGGGTTTGCACTGCAAATAGGGAACAGGTCACACAGCACTGAGCCCTGGAAGGGAAGATTCATCAGGTGCTTGGACTGTGTCACCTGCTCCACAGGACTGCCTGTCCTCAGCTCAGGAATCCTCTCCAAAGGCATCCAGCCTAGGGGACACATGAGGTCACTGTCCCTTTTCCTGGCTTCTGCATCCTGTCTCTCTGAGCCATGAGTAGGACCCTGCAGGACACACTGCCCCTCCTATCTTCTTCCCTGTGACCCACAGCACAGGGGCACATAGAGCAGGCATCTGACACCCGCTCATGGACAGAGCCAAGCACTGTGTATGAAGCCTGCTCCAGAGCCTCGATTACTAGTTATCATAGGGCCCTACCGGCAGTGGGCCTCCCGCCACGTATTCCCACACCCCATTTCAGGAGGAGAGATACTCTCAATGTGTGCCCTTTTCCCAAAGCCCAAGGCTAGTCAACTCCCCTGACCAGCAACAGAACCCCCAGCATTCGCTGTGGACACCCCAGGCCTCCCCATGGTGAGCAGCACACCATCACACCCACCCCTTGGCCCCCAGCACTCACCTGGAGCGGGAGTGGCTGCCAAGCTGGTGCATATGTGGGTTGTACTGGGCCAGGATGGTGATGGTGTCACACTGTTGCCCTATGATGAGCCGGGCCTGCTGCTCTGTGGCACTCCGCAGGTTAATGCCATTGAACTGGAGAGACACCCAGGGTGGGCTCAGGGATGGGGCGGGAGCTGTGGACATGGACTTCAAGCACTGCTTTTTCAGGGGTGGAGGAGAAGAGAAGAAGGGCCATTCCCTCCTACCTCAAGTAACTGGTCCCCATACTCAAGGCCAGCCTGGTGGGCAATGCTGCCGGTGGTCACTTTGGAGACGTAGATGCCGCCCTTCTCTCCACTCACAATGGAGATGCCCAAAGGCTCTGAGCCCTTCTGTACCTTCACATGGCGTGGTTCCTCCACGTAAGGCCTGGGAAAAGAGCCAAAGGTGTCGAGGACTCAGACACAAAGGACAGGCTAGGGGAGGCAGATCAGGCATGCGCTCAGGTGTACAGAGAGGACCCTGGAGCCGGGTGCTGCTATGATGATATGGCTGGATGGGGACACGATGAACCAGCTTCGATATGAAAAAGGATACACATTCCCAAAACTTCATGCAATACAAAACAGCACACCCAAATGGACAAGGAAACACCCAGCCCCAAAGACACAGGAACACCAAAATGCACGTGGGAGAAAACTCACATATCTTCATTTTATGAGAGAAGCTTCATTTATGAGAGAAGCTGCCTCACAGCATGCAATTTACAACCCCTGAGGGAGGGGTCCTCATGACCACCCCCCTCCAGGAAAAGAGATGGCTCCTGGGATGACGTTCACACCAAGAAGAGATGACATAAAACGTCAGTCTTTGTATGTACTGGCTACATGGGGGTGACGCAAACTGATCATGGAAATTAAGCTGCTGCAAACCCAAGCCATGGAGAAGGAGGGAGAGGGAGGCAGAGAGCAAGGCTGGGACCATGCACCTGCTGCCCAAGGGCACCAGGAGGCAGGGGCTCAGGGGAGCCTCGTGTTGGGCCAACCTCAGACTCCTCAGCGAGGAGGACCTGGGCCTGGCGGCCACAGGCAGCCTCAGAAGAGATCTGTGGCGGAAGAGACATCTGGATGGCACCAAAGTTGGAAAGGAGAGAAGGGACACTCAGAAGGAAGACGACTCAGACGCCTACGACTACAGAAAACAGACAGCGAGCGACACAAAGTGCCCCCCCACCCCCACGGCCCGAGCTTCACCAGCCCTGGGCCTTCTTCCTCTGGGACACGAAAAAAAAAGTGAGGCCAAAAACTAAGAGAAGGGTGGTCTGATGCCCACCCTTGGGTCCCCTCTAGAGCCCATGGACAGATCTGTGTGGCAACAAATGAGTTGGGAGGGGGGCACTTGAACCAGCACCCCTGCCACAGAGCTCCGGCAGCCCACAACCTCAGCAGGCCTCGGCCTGGGTCCCGCTGCTTAGGGCCAGGCCCTCTTAGAATAGCAGAAATTAAAATGCTGGGCTGGGGCTATAGCTCAGTGGGTAGAGTGCTTGCCTTGCATGCACAAGGCCCTGGGTTCAATCCCCAGCACCTTAAAAAAAAAGACAAAGAAATTAAAATGCTTACAATTCTTTGTTCACTCCCACCTTCCAAACCTACCCACTTTATAATTCTTCCCTTGACCTGCCAACTGCACCTGAGCTGGCCTGCACCAGTCACTTGTACAACTCAACAAGTACTAGAGTGCCAGGTCAGGTGCAGTTGGCAGGTCAAGGGAAGAATTATAAAGTGGGTAAGTATGGAAGTGGTTTAGAGCGGTGAGAACCTGTAGCCGGCAGCCGCCCTAACGCCATCCACACAGTGGGGCAGGAACCAGAGCGGGCTGAGGCTGCCTTCTTGTGCCAGCCCACAGGCACTGCACAGCTGGCTTCTGTCTACGGCTCCTGGTTCCTCACCGTGACTACCCTGTCCTCTGCTCCACCTCCACCCAAACATGTTTCCCCACAAAGGAGCAGGTAACCTGCTCATATAAAAGCCACTATAAACGATCCTCCGAATCAGGAGTGACTAACACCCAAAGAAGTAGGGACCACTGTGGACTGCAAAAGCAGATGGGACAATGCCACACGGAGCCCACATGCATGTTTACGTCTGTACCTATGCAGATTTCTGTGGAGGGCCTTGCCCAGGAGTGAGTGTGGTGATCTGAGGTGATCTTTATTTCTCAGTCTTCTGAATGATTTAAATTTTATACTCTACACACGAGCTTTCTTGGAACAACAATGCTGCTTTGTAAAACATGTTAATAAATTATACTTATAATGCTCTAAATCACTTAAAATATAAGGTCAGGGTTGGGGATGTAGCTCAGTGGCAAAGTACTCGCCTAGCACGAGCAAGGCCCTGGGTTCAATCCCTTGTGCCACCAAAAGAGAGTAAAAAGTAATAATAACTAGAGGAAACATGATTATGTATATAAGATGACAAATAATAAAACATACATTAAAAATGTGTGTGTGTATGTGTGTATGTGTGTGTATAACAAGTGAATTTCTGAGACTACAGGTAACTTTTTTCTTTTTTCTACTTTTCTAACTAACTCCCAAATTTCTATGAGTCTATGAGAGTGAACTTCAGAATCAGGAAAAAGGGATGATGTTTAATTAATAAGCTGTTGCTCAGCCAGGACACACGTGTTCAATCGTGTCTTTAATTGCACAATAGCACTGGGGGACAAGGATGTGCATACTTTTCCCTCCGGGGGAGCAGTCCCTGGCTCTTTTGCACGGCAGGGTGCTGACGGGTTGCTTGGTTGCATGTGACACATGCACCCCCTCCCGCTGGGGCCAGGCTGGGCCACAGTTCCTACATAAGTGCCTCACAGAAAATACTAGTGACTTGCTGGAACAAGGTACACAGGTGCTAGATGACCTAAAGAAGATTGGCTGAGTCCCGTTTCAAATCAAAGCAAATTCTCCAACCCAACGCCCCCCCCCCCCACGAGCAAGCCCACCCCACACCCAAGCACTGGCTAGTGGTCCAGATGTGCCATCCAGTGGTTGGCCCAGGCCACGAATTCCCATGCACACTCACCTGTCCTTCCTCCGCTCCCCGAGGGACGCAGGGTTGACAGCAATCCTGGGCAATGTAGAGGCAGAGGTCTGGGACTGGCTACAAGTGGACAGGGTGTCAATGTTGAGGGGCGACTGAGGAGGGGTGCTGCATTCGGAATGTGACAACGAACCTGTCAAGAGAGGAGAGGCGCGAGGACACGGGGCCCCACATCAACCGCAGGGTCTGGACGCTGGGCTGCAGCTGCCTGCCACCCCCCAGCATCAGGCCCTGCCTGGGCTCAGGACACCTTTACCCACTGACTGAAAGGACTGGCAAACTACAATCTGCACCCAGGGAACCCAGGCGGGGACAAAAGGAGGCAGTGGGATGAGCAGCGGGAGGGGCATGCCCACAAGTGCTTACCTCTGTCAGAGCCCATGACAGACCGAGGGTACCTCGGCGTTAATGGGATCTTAATGCGTTCTGCCTTGAACTGCAAGTTACTGGAAGACCCTGTTCCAAAAGAAGATGGGACATCAGGCCTTGTGATTAAACACCACCCCCGACCCCTCCCATGGCTTGGCAGTCAGGATGGTAGCATGCAAAGCTGGGCCTGCCATGCAGCTCTGAGAGAGCCTGGATGTGGAGCAGTTGCAAGAAACAGATACTTGGCCTCTAGTATTGGCAGAAGTGGGCAGGCCTGGAGTCTGCCTCCAGAACAGGAGCACCACTCATGGAGACCCACGAGATACAGGCAGCTGCTCGGTCTCCTCTCCCCAACAACCAAGATTTCCCCAGGGTCTCCTTACAAGGCCATATAAGCCTCTCCTCTAGGTGACCCTGAGCGAGCAGCCATACAAACACCCCAGGATAGCCAACAAGTTCAGGGAGAGGAAGCAAGGATCCGAGGGGCCGCAGGCAAAGAGCATAGCTCCGGGTGCAGCATGGGTGTGAAAGTCATCGGCCCTCCAAGGAAGGAGCTGTGCTTAGCCCCAGGAGAGAGAGGAGCTCATGTGGGCAGCCCACCACGAGATCTGGGAATTAGGATGCAGGTGCCCACTGCAGCCCAGGGTCCAAGCAGTAATTACCGAGGCGGGCGCTGGAAGGCAGCGAGTTAGACCCGTGGGAGGCTCTCATCTCAGCATAGTCACTGCTGGCCCTGTGGCTGAGGTCCAGGCTCAGGCGGCCCTGGTGCTGGACACTGGGAGAGAACCAGAGGGGAGGGTTTGTGAGGACCAGGACCAGAGGTGGCCACCAGGGATGAACTGTGACAGCCTAGGCCTCCCTCACCACAGGCCCAGGACAGCAGCCTGCCCCACCACTTCTCAGAGGTGGCATCTAAGAGGGCCACAAACACAGGGCAAGCCAGAGTCACCTCCAGGTCAATGGCAGGGACAGACTGCGCTCACTGGAAGGAAGGGTCTGCTACAAGGAAAACAGGCTCTGCAACCCAGGTGGGCCCAGAACGAGGACAGGGAGAGGCCGCATGGGCCCCAGGACCTTGGAGAAGTACTACATGAGTCACTCTGAACAGTGTAACCAGGAAAGCAGAGAGTGGTGGCAGAGAGCCCGGCTCCCTGTGGTCAGGTTCCCACAATGTACAGAGACGCCACCTTCCTGCTTAAAGCCCTCCTGTGGTCTCCGCCATACTCAGAGTAAAACCCCAACTCTAAGCCAGGCTGCGATGGCTGTCTGGGACCCCAGTTACTTGGGACGCTGAGGTGGGAGGATCACAAGTTTGAGGGCAGCCTGGGCAGCTCAGTGAGACTATGTCTCAAAATAAAAAATAAAGACCTGGGGGTGTAGCTCAGTGGTAGAACATTTCTAGCCTGCACAAGGCCCTGGGCTCAATCCCTGGGACTGAAGTGGGCGGGAGGTTGGGGGGCTAGGGAAAAGAAAATCCAACTCTTTATTATGGCTGTAGGTCCTATAGGGTTTGTGCTGGCCAACCTGGGGTCTCCTTCTGACTCACTGCCCGCCTGCCAAGCTCCCAGGATTTCAGCCTCAGCATCAATGACACTTCTGTCTGGATGCCCCACTCCAGTTTGTGTAGTTTAGTGGCCACTGTCTTCTCAGACATAGCCCAGCCTGTCACCCTGTCTTACTGTCTTCAGAGCCACTCTGCACCACTTCAAAGTACCCTGTACATGTTTATTTGCCTCCCACACTTGAACAAAAGCACCTCATGAGTAGGAAGCTCATCTCTGTGGTCCACCACGGTCTCCCCACAGAACTAGTCTAGTTCTTGGAACATAAAAGGTACTCAATAAAAATTTGTAAGAGTGATCTTGAGTCAGCCTACCCACTTTTTGACAACTTGGGTTTGCTAATTTATTTAATTATTCATTTTAGTTTTTATTCCTGCCCCCTTTTTAAGTTTTTATTTATTTAATTATTTTTTAAATTTATATTTGACAGCGGAATGCATTACAATTCATGTTACACATACAGAGCACCATTTTTAATATCTCTGGTTGTACAAAGTATACTCACACCAATTTGTGCCTTCATACATGTACTTTGGATAATAATGTCCATCACATTCCACCATCATCGCTAACCTCATGCCCCTCCCTTCCCCTTCCACCCCTCTGCCCTATCTAGAGTTGATCTTTTTTAATGCTAGGTTTCTCATTTAATAAATGAGATTCATCAGTGCTCTGCACAATCCAAGGAAGTTTTCTAATAATGAAATACAGAAATGATCCCTGAATGCAGTTTTGCCCCATTCACTTTTGAAAGCTCTCATCCCTACAGCAGAGGCAATATAAAAGTATTTAGCTCAGAAGCCTGAGGGAAGAGGGTGTGGCTGAAGGTCTGAGCATGGCAACGGGACATGAGCTGCTGTCACTATCACCTGTTGAGAATCCACGCTGGTGAACTCACAGAGGAGCCCCAGGTTCCCTGTCCCTTGGCTCCAGTGCTGCTCCACCCAGCCTCTTCCCAGCTAGCCAAGGAAGCTTCTCTGCCCACAGCCTCTCTGCACCTGTGGCACTGGACGACTAGAGCACAGGAAAGGGTAGGGTACCTTTGCATACCTGGGAGGCAAGCTCTGGGGGCCAGCATCTCGGGGCACAGGTGGAGAGCTGCAAGGGCCAACCCTGTGGCTGCGCACAGTGTAGATGGGGTTCCGCAGGATGGAGCTCACAGCAGTGCTGGGGGTCATGCTCCGGGGAACAGTTCCTAGAAATGGGCTGGATGAGAACAATGGCCCCCAAAGCACCTGCCCCGACAGCCCTGGACTTGCCTACACCCTCTCCTGTATACCAGGGTGGTGGCCACGGTCTTTTGGGGGAAAAAACTCTATTATAGGGAAATAAGAGTTTTAACCACCAATTTGCTAACTGGCTTTGGCTATTGGACTTTCCCCAGCTGTAAAAAGGGAGATCCCTCTTGCACCATTGCCCAGGCTGCCATGGGGACAAGCAAGTTAGTTCCAACAAACTAAGATATGACATGGATGACCAACCAGTCTGGATAGGGCAGCAATTCCTATTTCTCTGGGCCTCGGGGTTGAAGACCCATGACAGCCATGAAATATGTGCCTCCCCTCTCCCTGGAGACCACACAGCTGACCCTTCTCCCAGCACCTGTCCAGCCCACTCACCCACGGATGGCCTGTTGGGGTAGAGCGGGGGGTTCCCATGCCGGCTGGAATGCCCTGGTGAGTAAGGGGACCACTCCTGCACCTCGGGGGAGAGCTCTCCACTAGCTGGGATGCACTTCTGCTCCTGTAGAATCAAAGACGAGGAGTATTTTCTGGAGATAGTGGGTCTATGTGCAAGTCAACTTCTGTCCCTCACGCACGAGCTCCTTCTACTCCAGCATAGGACGTGAGCAGTAGAGCAGAAGTCACCGCCCACTCACGTTGCCTCACACAGCTTCCTTCACAAGCCTTTCTGAAGACAACTGCAAAGGAAGACTCTACCCTTTCCAAGAAACAGCCTCTGGGGGTGGAAGGTGAGCAGGTGGGCACACACCCGGCTCACAACTGCATGCCTCAGCATATACACTGGTGCCTCAGAGGGTCTTGGCTCCCGGCAATCGCTCCCTTCTAGAAACAACTACAGCACACATGATCAGACCACCCTGCTGCCTGTAAATAGTCTCACACATGTCGCTCATGTCTTCAAACCCTTCAAGTGCAAGTCTGTGTCACTTGACTTTGTGGTACAAGTTCAAAGGCTTCTTATTGAAAAAGCATATCAAACGCTATGTCCTCTGTGCTTCCCTCCACCCCAGCCCACTCCCCCACATGCACACTAGTTAACAGTGAAAAAGCCAGTCAAGCACAAGTGGGGACGCCAGTGCAGGGCCACTCTGCAGGATTCCCATGGCCAACTCCCCCCACCTAGGGCTGAGCTCTACCTCCAGGAATTGAGCAGGAATCACTACCGGAGCAAGCTTGGGCCGAAAACTAGGCGCAGACTTTGGCCGGCGGCGCTTCTGCCCCAGCTCATCTGCCTTCTGGGAAGTGAGGTCCTCGTCACAGGACTTCTTGGCTGGCAGGTAGGAGGAGTCCCCATCCCCTTCGGGGTAGTAGCTGGAGGCGATGCGGACCCTGGCCTTGCGAGGGGGTGATGCATGCATGGGTTCTCCGAGGTCGGCGTCCGGGGGCGGGGCACCTGGTGGGCTGGTAGATGGAGAGCTGCCCACCAGTGTGGCCTCTGATTCAGAACTGGTTTCCAGTCTGTGCTGGAACTTGATGGAGTCGCTTCTCCTGGGGGGCTTTGGGGGTGTCAGAGGCCCCATCCTCTTGGAGGGCTGGGGGGAGTGAATAGGCCCAGGGCCTGGGAGCAAATAGTCTATTTTGGGGGGCGTCTGGGGACGTTTAAAAGTGTTTGGGTCAAAGATAGACTTTCTTTGCTTTGGCTTCTTGTAAACGGAGAGCTTCTCCGGCCCTGCTGTGGAGCCGAGCACGGCCTTGGGCCAGGTCCCACCGCTGTTGGAGCCCTCAGCATCCACCTTGTCCAGAGGGGCCTCCACTACCCCACAGGGGCCCACCTCAGTCTCAAAGGGCAGCAGGGGCCGCCTGCTCCGCATGTCCACCAGCCCGTAGCCACGTTCCCCAGAGGCATCGGAGTGGAAGGAGCTCAGGCTGCGCTCGGAGGTGCTGGGACAGGTCTGGGGGGAGACTGGAAAGGGGCCCCCAGGGAACGGTTTGTGTAGAAAAGAGGTGCTGCCTCCGGGGGGCCCCGGCTCCTTCCTGTCTTCCAGCCCAGCGCAGAAGAGCTCCGTCTGCGTGGAGCTGTGGTGCTGCATCAAGTTCCGCTTGTGATGAGCCTGGGCCTCCAGGCCATGGCTCCGAAGACTCAGCATCTTATCAGAGTCCTTGATGTTTTCAAAGATGTTCTGGCCGCTCCACGAGGAGCTCTGAGGGAACACCTAAGCAGGGTTGCAGAGGGGTGAGAAAAAGAGGCAGCAGGGCCTGGAGTTGCCACTGGTAATCGTCCCCACAGCAGAGCAGGATGGGCCACCCCCCCACCCAAAAGGGACCCACAGGCACATGCAGGCGAACGCACATGCATGCACCCGGCCCCTGATGGTGAAGTCTCCTCGCAGCCTCCGTCACTTTGAATGCACAGAACTATAAAGTTCTCTGACTTTGAGCACTTTCTTTGATCAGTTGCACAATGTTCTATACACTGTCTAAACACTAAAAATCTCTCACAGAAAATGCAGGTGATGGTATATTGATCAGCACTAAAAGGACATGAGCTGTCAAGCCACGGAAAGACACGAAGGAACCTAACGCACGTTACTAAGTGGAGAAGGCCATGGGGAAAGGCTGACTGCGGCATGACTCCAACCACATGACCTTCTGGGAAGGGCAAGAGTCTGCAGGCAGCGCAAGGATCAGTGGTTGTCAGAGGCCTGAGAAGGGAGAGATGACTGGGCAGAGCACAGGAATTTGCAGGGCCATGAAGCTATCCTACATGACACTGTCATGGTGCATACACATAAGGATACGTTTGTCAAAAGCCACAGGATATACGGCATCAGAGTGAACCCTCAGGCTGGAAGGGAGCTCAGCAGCAGAGCGTTTGTCTAGCATGTACAATGACCAGGGCTCAATCTCCCATATCACACCAAGGTGGGGGAAAAATGAATCCTCGGGTAAACTGTGCACTTAAGTTCACTAATGCATCAACACTGGCCCCTCAACGGGAACAAGAGTACCAACTAACACAGATGCCAATAACAGGGACAGCCTGGGGTGGAGGGTAGGGAGGTGGTGGGGCTTGGTTCAGGGAATACATGAGATTGCACCAACCTCAAACAGCTGCCCAAAGAGCCTATTAACTTGATAATAACTGAGTAGTTTAGAAAACTACTCTTAATGAAATGGATGGGCCTATTTTTTTCTAACTTTCTAAGATTTATCTTTTCAGCTAAGTAGAAAAATTGACAGGAAAGTATAATGAATACCCACCAACTGGACTCCATAAGATTTTACCAAGCTGTCTTGAATGTCTATCTATAGTGATATTGCAGATCACTGGAAAAGTTAAGCTGTAGCTTCACATTTCACTAACAACTTTAGCTTGTACCTCCTCAAATAAACTCATCCCCATATATAACTCCAATGTCATCATCAGACCTAAGTAATAATTCTCTATTGTCATCCAATTATCCAGTCCAGATTCAACTGTACCCACTGTCCCCAAAACGGTCTTTTCAGCTGTTTTTTGTTGTTGTTGTTTTTCAACCAGGATACAGCCAGGACCCAGCCAGGCCTTATGCACACTCTGCATTTTGTACATTGGTGCCTTTTTTTCAAGGATCCCCACGATGCTGAGCAGTATGCTGGAGTTGGAGCTGAGGCTCTGGCCACCGCCTCAGTGGTGAGAGCAGAGCTGGCTGCAGGGTCCTTACCTTCAGGAGGGAGAGGGTCAAGGAGTCCTGGCAACTGCGCAACAGAGATTCACATTCATTCAGGGACTTGTTGTCCAGTGCGATGCCATTGATCTAGGGCCAAACAGAGAGCTGTTCAGATCCACTGGCAGGGAAGCCTCAGCCCTCTTCTCAGGGCTGCCAGGACAGAGGCTCAGCCACATACCACCCATGGAGGACAGCAGGCCTGGTTGTTCAAGGTACCAAAGTCAGGAGTGGGTGAAGGAGTGAAAGCCCCTCCCCAGTGAGGCCCAGAGTCAGTAAGGGGCTTCTGAGCAAATGAAACCCAAGCCTTCACAGCATTCCGGAAGAAGGAGCCTTCCTCCTGGGACCAGAACACCAGAGACCCCAGGGAAACATCCAACCCTGGGATGCCCAGATCAGCAGCGTGGAATATCCCAGCTTCATCCTTCGTGTATGAAATAGCTGACAAACATGCATGTTGAGACCAAGGCCACGCAAGGTCATGTAAGCCAGAAAACACCACAGGCAATGAGGCACTGCCACTGTTGAGAGGAGATCAACAGCCCGAGATCCGTCTCGAGTCTGTCCACATCCCTCAGATACATTCAAACCTTTCCTCAAAGTACACGTGTGACAGTAGATGGCTAAACTGTGGAACAATGTCATTACTCAGCAATGACAAGGAACAAACTGTTGACATATGCAACCCCCGATGGTCCTCACAGGCTTGATGCTGAGTGAAAAAAAGCCACCCCAAAGTCACCCACTATAAGGTTCCATTTAGACGACGTTCTCAAAATGACAAAATTATAATGAAGAACAAATCAGGGGCCAGAAGAAAGGGATACTGGGGCAGAGGGGGGCCTGACTGTAAAGGGGTGACAGGAGGGAGGCCTCTGTGGTGGTAGCCCCTGGTCCACATCTGACTGTGGCAGTGGTTACACAAAACGATGTATCAGAAAACCACAAACCATGCACACCTGCTGCACCACAGTCAGCTTGCTGGCTTTGATGGAGGGGGAGCCGGGTGAGGGGCAGGTCAGACTTCTCTGTATTCTCTTAGTAACTTGTAACTATTTCAAAGTCCAAAAGTCTTGGAATGGTGAATAAACTATAACCCCTTCTGAGAAGGAGATGTTGAGGCAGGAGGATTGCAAGTTCAAGGCCAGCATGTTCAACTTATTTTGAAAATAAAAAATAAAAAAGGGTAGGGATATAGCTCAGTGGTTAAGTGCCCCTGGGTTCAATCTCCAGTACCACAGCAAGAAGGGGGAATAAAGCAAATATTTTTTCTAAGTGGTAGCAATACAAATGTTATTTCCTTCCTAGACATTTTCTGTATTTCATAATTTTCTAGTGTTTACTGCAGTAGTATTTTGACACCATTGGGGAGAATAATTACTTTTTGAATGTTAACATGGTGCAATGCCCAAGAACAAGGGATGTATGAAAACTCTGCTCGTGACTTCTTGCTCAAATGTCTCATTCGTAACCCAGCCATCTCGGAGCAGCAGACAGCCTGGCTCCGTCCTTGAAACTCACCGCCACAATCCTGTCTCCCACGGCGAGGGACCCTTCTTTGGCAGCAGGGCTTCCAGGTACCACAGCAGCAGCATACACTCCACTCTCCAGACTGATGCCGCTGTCTGCAAGCCACAGGATGGTAGTGGGCAACCCTGTTCTGGCTGCCCCACCCCATTTTTTTTTTTTTGAGGTACGGGGGATTGAACCCAGGGGCACTCAATCACTGAGCCACATCCCCAGCCCTACTTTGTATTTTAGTTTGAGACAGGGTCTCACAGAGTTGCTGAGTGCCTGAGGCTGGCTTTGAACTTGTGATCCTCCTGCCTCAGCCTCCCAAGCTGCTGGGATTACAGGTGTGTGCCATAGCACCTGGCCCCACCCCATCTTGGTTAATGAAACTTATAAAAGGGGAGGTCAGCAGACTGCACACTGTCCAGCCCAGTACCCCCACCTGGTCACACCCATAAGGGGGCTCAGTCACACCCAGTCTGGTGAATCAGACACTCGAGACCCAGACAACCCCCTGCCAGGAAAGCACACAGGCTGCATTTAAATGGCATCAACAACTCATGCCTGAGAATGATGTGCTTCTACAAACACGCAAGCCCTGCCAGCCAGAAAGGACACCTGCCACCTCTGCAGGCTCCCTACCTTTCTGTCCACTGAGGTTTATGTGCAGGGGTGTGACCACCTTCCCACCCAGGGACTTCCTCCGCCGCACGACCATGTTGATGGCCCCCTCTCCATTGAGGAGGGCCTTGATGGCCTGCTTCTTGTCCTTGTTGATGAGGTCCACATCGTTGATTCTCAGCAGCCAGTCGTTGACCCTGAGGAGAGACACAGCCCGACTGGCAATCACAAGGATCCTGGGCCCTTTGGGTCACCCCACCACTCCCATTCAGGGGTCAAATGCCAAAAAAAAAGCAGTTGCCCTGCGTTCACATTCAGAAAGAGCTCCTCTCCCTGGAGCATACAGTGGTTAAGTTTACAGAGGCTGGAGCTAGACAACCTGAGCTCAAATCCTGGCTCTGCCACTTACTAGCTAGGGGACCTAGCTGTTCTGTGTGTCAAGTGTCCTCATCTATAAAATAGGACCAACAATTGCACCGACTTCATAGGACTGCAAAGATTAATCAACTCATTTATATAAAGTGCTTAAACCAGTACTTAGTAAATACAACTCATGGAATGAGAACGTGGCACAAGTCCTCAGCTTCAACGCATCCCACCTGAGCCCTCTGCCACCCAGAGAAGTAAAAGACAACCCTTGGTAACTAGAGAAAAACCAGATTCAGAGGCAACTGAGAGACACAGTGTCTCCTCTTAAACCAATCTTAGCAGTTGAGCCTGAGGCCTCAGAGAGACTCTGAATCCCCAGATGCTGGGATCCATTCATCCCAGCACTACCTGACTCTCCGAGTCCTCTGCATTGGACCCAGTCATCCTTAACTCTTACCTTAAGCGGCCATCAGCAATGCTTCCTTTGTCCACTTTCGTGACAAATATGCCACAGTCCCCTGGGAAACAAGGCTCATTCACACCTTCTGCCATGTCAAACCCAAGTGCCTTCAAGTCAACCTCCTCCTGTCGGGACAGCAGCAGCACACTTTACCAAGCAGTGAGCAGAAACATTTGGCTCCTAAGCCCCCAAGCCACACTCACTCAGTCCCCAGAATGGAAGGCTGGGGGGAGCTGCAACCTGCCTGCTCTGGCCCCTGCAGACACACATCCCTGCCAGCACCTCCCCTGCGCTCCACTCCTCCCTCTGCTGTGCGACGCAGCACCACTGTGAGGCACGGGACACCGACTGCTACAGCCCATCTTGGACCGCTGCAAGAAAGGATGGACTCCCACCCCAGGGGAAAAAGCTGGTCCTTAGGCTGGGGCTGGGGCTCAGTGGTAGAGCACTTGCCTAGCATGTGTGAGGCACTGGGTTGGACCCTCAGCACCACATAAAAATAAACGAAGATATTTTGTCCATTGACAACTAGACAAAAATAAATTAAAATTTTTTAAAAAGCTGGTTCTCTGAGATGGTAGCAGTGAAACAGAGACACTGCCAGAGGGCCATCCCTGGTCTTCATGTCAAGCACGGGGAGAAAAGCCATCCAAGGCAGCTCACCGTCTCCCTTTCAAACTCGACGACTTCTGTTTCCCACTCCATGGAATCTGTATCGATGGCCGAGTCGTGGGAGCTGTGGGCCATCAACTGCCGGAACCGGGCCTCCTTCTCCAACTGGGATTCCATCTGCTCCCTGTGAACAGAGAGAGCTATGGCAATGTCCCTTTGGAAAGCAAAAACATCCCCTGGCATCACAACTCCACACCAAGGTTGCCATTCACGAAAGCCCTTCGGGGCTCCTTTCTTGCCCTCTATCTAGACCAGCTTCCGCCACGCCTGGAGGGCCAGCCAAGGCTTCCTGGGTTATCAAAGGGCTTTCACAGGGGATTTTGTAAAAAGACATATTCTCCCCAAATTTATCGAGAGGCTTAAAACAGTTCAGGTCAAAATGCCATTGAGACTTTTTTAGATACAGAAAAAATGATTCCCAAATGTACACGAAAAGGAATGAGAACAGCTGACCATTTTGAAAATGGGACAATCAAGGGGGAGGAGTTGCCCCACCTGGTCTTAAGACTTACTGAAAACCAACTACTATGAAGACTATGTGACACCGCAGAGAGACGGACACACAGATCAATGGAACAGAACAAGGGACCTGGAAATGGCACCACACAAATACCAAGGTATAGATGTAATCAAGAAGAGGACAATCCCGGGGACTGGGGGTGTGACTCAGTGGTACAGCACTTGCCTAGCAGATGTGAGAAACTGGGTTTGATCTTCAGCACCACAAAAAAGCAAATTAAGGTTTAAAAAAGAAAAAAAAAAAAGACAGTCCTGGGTCAATGATGCTGGACAGCAGGACACCATGGAAAACGAGGAACCTCAACTAAAGCCCTTCCCTCCACACAAACTCAAAACACATCACAAATTCAAATGCATAACATGAAACTATAAAACTTTTAGAAGAAAAACAATAGAATATCTTTAAGTTCTAGGACTATGTGAGGGGTTCTTAGACATAAATCATTATGAGTATTTTTTAAAATAAATAAATTAGTCCATCAAAAATTTAAACTTTAGCTCTTAAGAAAATCTAACAAAGAGAATGGGAAAAAAAAAAGGCTCAGAAACCCATCAACCCCCCAATGACTCACATGTGATGCCCTTCTTTCTAAAATCTGGGCCCAGGCTACCTTTCCAATTTATCCACGATACCCACTGGGCTCCTGGCATCTGTGTGAACTGCTCTTGTGTCCAGCAGGCTCCCAGATCTGCATGGATGGCTCGGCTGGGCTCCCCCTGGCAAGTTCTAGAAGGCTTCTCAGCCTCCAGTCCTCTTTCCAGGCCAGTGCAGCCAACGCTGTGCACCGAGAGCTCGGCACACTGTTCCATCTGTCTCCACGACGGCACACCAGACAAGAGTCTAGTTCTAGATCGCATCGTGGTTACTGGACTCATTTTTAAACTCTGAACTTGGTATTGTCAGTCCTCTGCTAGTGGTCCCAAGTGTTTAGATGACGCTCTGGGAGGGTATTGTGACCAAGGAGAGAGTGCCTGACACCCCACATAGTCTTAGAAATGGCATCCATAGAACACAAGCAGAACAGCCCGTTCCACCCCCACCGGCTTATCACAGGCTGCTGCTGTCTTCCTGCTAACAGGGGGACGGAACTGACACCCATTTCACAGAATGACAAAGTGAGGCAAGGTGAAGGGACGGATGCAAAGCCTGCACACAGGGACAAGGCCAGTGTGTTCTGGGTTCAGTGCTCTGCAGGGAGCAGGGATGTCATGGTCACAGTACATGCCCACCCAAGCCTACTTGAGCTCCTTAAGCTCCCGGCTGACGTCGTTCTTCTGTTTCCGAGTGTCATCCAGGCTGCGCAGGGCCTCAGCCAGCTCACTCACTGCCCGGTCCCGCTCCCGCCGCAGGTTGTCACACAGTGTCCTGGCAGGGAAGGCAGAGAGCAAGGTGACCTCGAGGGGCAGGGGGACGGAGGAAGGGCTTATGTCAGCAGCAAACAGCTCGGTAGGCCCCTTCCCAAATACCTACAGGCACATGCCTCACCCCCAGAAGGAGTGCTTGGAAACCCCACAGTCACCAGGTTCCCAGTGACCTCTACTCCTTCTGCTCCACTCTTGGTAAGCCTGAGTTTAAGAACCACCGTCTGCACGGGCTCACTTATTCTAACTCAGGCTTGGGAGAAGGGAGTGGCTCTCCTTTGCAGTGATGCACCCCAGATACCTCCATCTTCAGCACTCACCTCATTCCCTTAGCCACCTGCACACAGGGCTTTCTAGACACACCCCAACCCTGCACCTAGGCTGGGAGCCCACTCAGCCAGAACCTGATCCCCACACATCTCGGCCACCCTGAGCTTTGCCTAGGTGCAACGTGTGAGCTCAGTGGGACTCTGCAAAAGGGGACCACAGCCCGTGTCAGCCATCCAGGGAGGTGGGGACACATGACCCATCAGGGAGCAGAAGATGGCTGTGCTCTTTGCCATCTCCAGAACTGGATGTATCCAGGGGGGCTGGTCCCCACCTCTCCACAGAGTCAAACCTTCCCTGTTTTGATCAGAGCCCAGTTCAGAACTGTACGCTGGAGAAACATGCAGCTCAGGTCAGAAAAGGAGCAGACAGGAAGCCCCACTAAGCCTCAGTACTCCCTCCATGCCCCGGAGAGCACCTTGCTCCTCTCCACTGGTGGGGCCTCTGACCAGCCCCCAGGGCCATAGGTCTCCACCCAAACAGCCTCAGGGGATCTTCCAGAAACCCCCCAATGACCTCTCTTCCCAATGCCGACCTCCTCATCACCTGGAGAAGCCCCATTCAAGCTCCAAGTTCTAGCCTGGATGCCATACTTTCTCAAGAGAGCTCCTCATACCCCAAGTGCCCCGTGTGCCCGAGGACAGCCCTGGCTGAGGCCCCAGACATCACATCCATGCATCCCCCGCTGCCCCCCATCCAAGCTGCTCAACATGTCATGAACATCATATGCACCTGGGAGCCTCTCTCAAGGTCTTTATGCTCAAGGGATCTATAATCCTGCACACAGTTGGCACCTAGTAAATATGCTGAAAGAATGCATTTCCCAATGTGCTACTGTCATGAGAAGCCCTCAAAGTGGCCGGCCCTGTGCCGGGGAACACTTCTCAGGGGTCTCACCTGGACACAGCACACACTCAGGATGTCCGGGGTAAAGTTAAACAAGAAGGAGAGACACAATGCAAAACTCCAAAGCCAAGACGTGAGGTCTGAATGTCAGCCAGGGGTGAGAGGGAGGAGCCCAGGTCCCTGCCACCCTACCTGGACATACAGTGTCCAATTCTGACCCTCCCAACAGACCTTAGAGTGACCTGGGGAAACGTAAGCTCACGCCTGGCCCAAGGTACCCATACCGGATGCTGTCGCGCTCCGCCACAATCTTGTCCCGCTCCTGGAAGGCCCAGTCCCGGCGGCACTTGGCCACATCGGCCTCCTGCAGGGCTTCCTTCAGCTCCTGGCACAGAGCCTTGCACTGCTTTCGAAGGATCTCCACCTCCTTGTTGGCCCTCCCAGCATCCATTGTCACCGTGTCTTTGATCTGGGGGCAAGAGACAGGTATGGGGGGGGGGTGCTGCTGAGACTCCTGGAGTGGAAGCCCCCTCCTCACAGTGCAGGGGTGGGGCTGCTCCTCTAGAGAGCTGCATGGAGGGAACACTAAGTCCAACACACCCCCTCCTACACGGGACCTCTACACGGCACACTGACAGACATGGTCAGACCACAAGTGGCACTAGGCGAGGGTCAACCCAGACTCTCACAGTCCCACACCAGCCTGCACCTGAACCCTAGGCCCTACCCAGCTATGGCCTCGTCAGCCTGGGTGGAATGTCTCCATGAGTGCTTTGCCAGAGCTCGTCCTGCCACTTCCGTGGTTTATATCTAACAGGCCACTGCAAAGCGCTGAAGAGCCGTCAAGATTTCAAAAGTGTGCCATGTGTGAATGTCACAATGAATTCCGCTTTTATGTCTAACTATGATGTACCAATTAAAAAATAAACTTAGAAAAAGGGAGCTTTGGGGACAAAAGGTGATGATGTGAGGCAGTGAAGGGGCCAAGGGTTGGTCATAACTTCTCCTCCCACCTGCCCCCCCATGTCTGCAGTACTAGTGTCTATAATGCGCACACTGAGTTTTTATAAAAAATGAAAATACTCCAGAATTTTTGCTTGTGAATACTATGCGTCAAAGTTTTTGGGTTTTCTTTTGTCTTTTTGCAGTACTTGGGATGGAACCCAGAGGCATTCTACCACAACTACATCTCTACTTTTTCATTTTATTTTGAGACAGGGTCTAAGTTGCTAAGGTTAGTTCTCACCAGGAGGCTCAGTGGGGAAGGAGACCATGGAAACCGGTCATAAGCCTAGAATAGGCTCATAACTAACCTTCGTTGCTCAAGTACAGTCAGCAGGAACCAGGGGGAAATTTGGACAAAAAGTGTTTTGTAACCCAAGAGTGACACGGTGGCATGCTTTGCTCCAAACTCCTGTTGCCCAAGATCGATGCTAATTATTTTAGTTTCGGTTTTCCCCTATTTTTATGCTGCATCGAGCATAAAAATAACCTTGAAAAAATTAAAGACTATTTGTACTAATTCTATCAATAATTTGTTATAATAAATAATACATTTAATGATCACATTTTTTAAAAAAATCTACATTGTGTTGAATGTTGGGTAATATACACATGCGTGGTTTTAAATATGAAACATGTTAATATTTGGTTTTCTGAAAGGCTTTTCCATTTTGCGCTGGATGATAATCTCAACCCAGAGACAGAGGTGGAAACACACAGAAAAGCCCACGCTGGGGAATGGAGCGTGCTCCTGCCCTCTCCCCCCACCCACACTCCTCTCCATGGGCTCCTTGGCACTGTTTTTCTCCAAAACAAATTCCCCCCAGTTTCCTTAAGAGTTTTAGAGTGGGGGTGGGGAATAATGAGATATCTTTAAAAGGACAGAGGAATTTGGAGGACGAGACTGGAGTAATCTTTGCCCGATTCCTTGATGGTGCTAATGACGAAGCCCAGGATCCTGGTGATGACCTGCCCCAGGTCCCGCCACAGTGGAGAGTGGACTTTCAGTCCACTCTGTGCCCCCCACATCAGACCTCAGTCCTCATACACACTGCCTATGACTTCTTCCTGCCTGGCTTCGGTGCACTTGGAGAAGAGATGGCAGAGCCCACTCCAAGGTCCCAGAGAGAAGATGGGATGCAGGTGTGGTGGCTTTCAACAGACGGCTCCCAGGTGGGGCAGCTGGCTTCTATTCTGGCAGCCCCTGCTGTCAGAGCCCTCTGCCCAAGAGTCTGAAACTCATCACACTGCTCAGCCTCCACAGCCAAACTCAGCTCCTCAAACTGGACTTGTGGGTGGATATGCAACTGCATTAGGAGGGCTACAGGGACAGAAAAGCCACTGTGAGCCAGAGTGGCTGTGCTGGCCTTCTATGTGGCAATGTTCTAATAGTGGGGCTTGGGGGTAATTAGAACCTGGGGGAACTTCTTCCTCCATCCTCCTAAAAGCAATGGCCTTCACTAGACCAGGCCAGCTGATGGCAGGGAGAACGACCTTGTAATGACAGTAGCCCCTGAGGATATACCCGCCCTGGGCACTGGACAGAACAGAGGCCTCTCAGGTCATGAACAACGAAGAGGGAGGCACAGAGAGAGGGGGACAGAGTGGAGAAAAGCTCCAGAAAGCACCACTCCCTGGCTGGGCAGAATCAAGACCTCCTGCAGCACGAGAGCTAGACCAGCTGGGCTCCTGAGGAGGGTGGGGTCTGACCCCAAGCTGGGATGGCCAGGGCCACAGACCTGGCCTCCCCTGGGTGGCAGGGAGCAGTACTATACATGGAACCACAGCAGCAGCGGGAGAGGGCGCTGGGGTTTTCAGCTCTGGAAGCCTCGGGGTGGGGGAGGGGGTTCTGGTCACCTCCTGCCCGCTGACTCGGAACAATGCCTGGAAAGGGTTCCTGTCTCAGCTGACAGGCAGGCTTGAGGCCCAGCCAACACCCCCTGTGCAGGGCAGGCGCTGGGCTGAAGGGCACACCTGAGTGCTGGGGGAGGGGGGTTGGGTGCTCTACTTCCCCATGTTCCTACATGTCCACGGCCTTCACAGGTCACTCCTATGATCTCAAAAACCCATCCACGTGGGCTCTGTGTCCTATCACAGGTTGTGTATAAACAACCTTCTGTGACCTTCTAGTCTGGTGACTGACTAGGTCTTTTCAGAGTTTTCTTCTGCTCCATTTTCTTTTTCTAATCTGATATCAACATTTCACTCAAGATTAAGTGCTCAGACACAAGGATGTGAAAAGGAGCCCTCACCTTGGACACTTACTGAGCTCTGGTGTATTAATAATAATAATAAATTCCTTCTCATAATGTTCTTTACAAAAATTTCATCAAAGTAGGGGCTGAGAGTGTGGCTCCGTGGTAGAGCGCTGGCCTAGCATGCACAAGGCCCTGGCTTCCATCCCCAGCACAAAAATCAATAAATAATAAATACAAGAAAATACTCCTCTTCACATTGGCTCTCACCTTAATGGTCTGCACAGGTCTCAGTCCCCTTGTATGAAACTGCTGTTATTTGGCCCATTCGTAAAACAGTGTCACAGCATTCACCCTGGTCCTAAACAGGACAGTAATGAAGACCAGGGGGCAGTGGCAGGGCACGATTTGTTATAACCAGGCCAGATCACTCCGAGCCACACTGACCCACACAATGCAAAGAGAATCTCCCATGCTGTCCTCACCCCAGCAGAGTAGGGGTGCTCAGGGGAGAAGCGTCAGTGCTAAGGTGTCAGTGGGGATAGAGGTGGCCCGGTAGGAAGATTGTGAAGAATCCATAGATATCACTCAGAGATGAGTTGAGTGACCTAGTCTCAGTGCCACTGAACACTCCAGTCCCCCAACCCCAGAGGAACCACCCCCAGGGGGCTTTAGAAGGGGGCCAGGCTCAGCCTATTAGCACATCTCAGCAGGGGCCTGGGGCAACCTTGTGAAGAGCAGTGTTGGTCAGAAGTGCCCAGAGGAGGGCTGGGCTGTGGCTCAGTTGGAGAGCACGTACTTTGCATGTGTGAGGCCCTGGGTTTGATTCTCAACACTGTATACAAATAAAGGAATAAAATAAAGGTCCATCCAGAACTAAAAAAAGAAGAAGAAGTGCCCAAAGGATGTTCCTCTGACCCATGAGGCCAACAGATCTATGGTTCTAAGAACTTGGACTTGGAGGCTGGGGTTGTGGCTCAGCAGTAGAACACTCACCTAGCACATGCGGGGCCCTGGGTTCGATCCTCAGCACCACATAAAACTAAATAAACAAAAGGATTGTATCCAACTACATTTAAAAAAAAAAAAAAAGGAACTTGGACTTGGGATTTGCTTCATAATGAGCAAGTCTGAGACTTTCAGCACAAAACTGATCTGAGCTTAAAGGGTGGCTTTGGATGTGACAGCACCTGGAGTGTCATCTGATTTCTCCCAGGATATCTAGGACTGTGGTTGGCCCTCCCTTCCCATTGGACCCACCCTGCCGTATCCCACTAGAGCTGAACACTGAGCCTGAGCCCAGCAGTGACCTGCCAGCACTTAGGCCTCCAGTGAGAACTCTCTGCTGTCATTCAGAAGCCTGTCCAGCCAGCCCCAGGAGCACTGTGCAGCCCCGCCTCTTGCTGAGGCATAGCCTACCTGCCGCAGCGCCTCCATCTCCTCGCTGGCCGCCTTCTTCTCAGATGTGCTGCTCTTGAGCTTGGACTCGGCCAGCTCCACCTCGGTCTGCAGCTTGTCCAGCTCAGAGATGACCTGGTCACGCTCGCTCATGATGAGCTTATACTCGCTGTACACTGCATCCCGCTCCTCCTTGTACTTCTCGGACTCCTTCGCGGTTTTGACCTGCGTGGTCCTCAGCTCCGTCAGCTCTGACTGGAGCAGCTCCATCTCCCACTGCAGGTCCTTGTTCTGGGCCGTGGCCTTGTTCAGCTCATGGTGAATGGCCTCGAACCTGGGGGAGGAAGGCAGCGGGATGTGGGAGGGGCGGCGCCTGCCCGGTCAGCTGTCTGGCTGCTCTTCTACCTCCCGCCAGCTCCACTGTGCTGAACAGTCAAGCATGAAGTTTGGGGTGAGGTCATTCTCTGCACCCCAAGGGAGAATGGTCACAGAGCACCAGTGCTGTGGGCCTGGAATTTTTACAAATGCCAGAAGTTGAACTGAGGACAACGCACCCCCTGCTCTACTAGAAATAACTGCGTATTCCTTCTACGTCAAACCACTTTATTTTGAAAAAAAAACAATGTCAGAATCTCAACAGAGGACACAGAAAAGCCTTAATGATGATTTGCTGCAACCTCCTCATTTTACAGACAGGGATGGTATGGCCTGGCACTGTGAGCAAGGGACCAAGGTCACGAGGTTAGCTCGGTCCGCCTAGGCCAGGTTGCACCTTCCACACGGACAGGCAACCTGAGAGTCAGAGTTGCTGCTCTAGAGTAGCATGTCCCAAAATGTGTTCTTAGAGAACAGTAATCCTGCAAGGGGCTCCATCACAAACCACCTATGTGGGTTCCCTGATGGCCTCTACATCTTGGTCCTCTCTGGGACAAATCAAAGCTCTGGCAAGTCCTGCAGCAGGGAAATCCATCTGGGCTCAATCCAGCAATTCCCCAACCTATTTATACCCAGAGAACACCTTTCAAGAAATGCTCCCGAGAGCTCGAGTTCTACAGGAATGCACTTAAAGCAATACCGTCAGAGGGAGGGGATCACATCTCTGAAGATGATATTCCTTAATAAAAAATGAAAATTGTAGGAGACACGGTGCCCTGAAAACTGACAGGAGGAGAGGGTTGTGGGGAGACCTAAGAGACAGAATGCTCAGAACACAATGGGTTGCTCAGATGGGAGAAAGAAGATACAACTCCCGAGACACATTAAGTGTCAAAAAAAGTTTCCCAGACAGAAATACCTGTTGATTGACAAGCACTACAGCCTGCGCCGCCTCCCCCCGGCTGCGGCTGGGAGTCTGGCAGAGAAGACGCATCTGGCTCTTAGGCCGCTCTCCTCCCTACCGCCCTCTGCCGGGGTCCTACCTCCTCAGGGACAGGGCGCACTGGTGCTGCAGCTGGATGGCCGTGTCCCTCTGCTGGGTCAGCATTTCCGTCTGCTTCAGCAGGCGCTGGTTCTCCTCGCCCAGCTGCTCCAGGCGGCTCAGGTCTGAGTTGTGGATGGCAACCTTCTCGCTGTACCGTTTCCGCAGGGCGTCGTAGTCCTTCTTGACCCCCTCCAGCTTGTCCATGGCCGTGTCGTACAGCTTGTTGAGGATCTCTGATGACCCGTTGTGCTTCAGTACCTGGCCACAGGGAGTTATGCTCACAAGAGGCGGGGGGCGGGGTGGACAGGACAGACCTCCTCCCTGGTGACAAGGCGTGGGACGGGCCTCCGGGAGTCCCCGAGGTGTCTGGTCCTACGTGCCCTGCAGTCGCACTGGGCTGATTCATCCAGATTTGCTCATTCTCAAATATTTATTGTCATGCAGAGAAAAGTTAACGTGGCAGAGCCGGAGACGCTCCGCCTTGGACAGGCTCACAGCAAGGCTGACTCCTTGCTGGGTGCGTCCGGGAACCCACACCAGCAGCATCTCTCAACGCTGATATAAATCGTCCCCTACGTGATAAGAGTGGCCCGTGGTGCCCAGACTACACAAGCTGTGTGGCTTGTGCTACTTTCTCTGGGAGTCTAGAATCTTGGTACATGCTAGGCAGTGGGCATCCTGGTGACCAGCTCCCAGTGAAAAGCCCAGGCACTAGGTGTCCAGCAGATGGCCCCAGAAGCCCCATTGGACGTGGGCTGTCACGACTCTGTGCTGGAGGGGTCGGGTGTGTCCAGTGTGACTGCCCTGGGGAGGACTCTTAGAAACCTGCACCTGGCTGCCTCTGGACTTTGCCCCACGTAGCTCTTCCTCCCTTTGCTGATTTGGCTTTACGTCCCACGGTTGTGAATTTTTACCACCACGATTACACACTGGACCTTGTGAGTTCTCCCAGCACATTGCAGAATCCAGAGGTGGTGCTGGGGACTCCTGAAAACAACACCTAAAGTGTCTAGTATTGTTCTAAGTGCTGGTGACACCAGGCAGGGTGGAAAGAGACTGTGCTCCATGGACCTTTGATCCTAATAGGAGGATACAGGCACACAGATCAAATCAATTGACCTCAGAGCATGAGAAGGGACATCAAATAAAATAAAAATAAAATAGGATAACAGGCTGAAGAGACTGAGCAGCAGAGTGGAAGGCTAAGGTCTAGGGATGCCTCTCTAAAAGGGTGACATCTGTCTGGATACAAAATGAAGAGCGGCCAAGAGCACACCTGGCAGCTGGGAGAGTAGATACAAAGGCCCTGGGGCAGAACCAGCAAATGTGTGCTAAGAACAGCAAAAAGGAATAGGTAGTATAGCTGTAGCCACCCAGTTCACAGAGCCTTGGAAAAGAGCCCACAATGAGGATCATGGCCTGAAAGAAACAGGAAGCCATGGAGAATTTTGAAGCACCCTACTCTGAATTACAGAAGCTAAAGTTCACTCGGGATGCTATTCAAGAGCAGGGGGAGATGAGTTAAAAAGCTGTGAGGGGGGCCTGCCGACTTCTGCTGAAATCCTCAGGGGACCTGAGCCCTTGGTGAGTCACCAACTTGAGGGTTTCAGTTTCCTTATTTCTCAAATGACAGGAGAGAACCGGAAAGGCTTGCTTAGTGCCTGCAGCTCAGCAGCCTGGGATCACCTGGCTCACTGTGCGTGGGCTGAGTTATCACAAGATCTTTGCAGCCCAGAGAACCGGGACCAGAGAGCATGGAATATTCCTTCAGAGGCAGAGTCGGCCTCAAAAACACAAGTACCTCGAAACAGAAAAGTGCATGTGATTTAAAAATCAGAATCACCGAGATAGGGAAGGAGCTCGCTCCCCTAAGACCTAGGATCAGACCCCAGGACCGCAGCCGGTCAGAGGCGAAGTCCGGTTCAGGCACCGGTTCATTCTTGTGCATTGCTTGTCTTTATTTATTTTTTAAGTAGAACTCTTCCCTTCAAAGGAAGTCTTACGAGGTTGCCGAAATACAAAACTCATTTTAAAAAGTGGCTGATGAGGGGCTGGGGTTGTGGCTCTGCGGTAGAGCGCTTGCCTAGCACATGCGAGGCCCTGGGTTCAAGACTCAGCACTACAAAAAAGGAAATAAATAAAGTATTGTGTCCAAATACAACTAAAAAATAAATTTTTTTTAAAAAGTGGCAAGTAGGTTCCTCAGCAGTTAAGACCTCCATTGTTCTATTAAAAAGTTTCCCTGTGGCAAAAGAGGAATACACCCCAAGACACGGATGGAAAACCAGGTGCTGAGCCCCACACTGTCCTCTAACATCTTCCTTTAGAGAAAAAAAAAAAAAATCTTCCACACATAGAGAAGAGGATAGCTAATAATGTAACAAATGTTATATACCCAACTGTTTAATCTTAATATCATACTGCGCCCCAAACTGTTTACAGAGAAGTAGACCATTACAGAGGTTGCTAAAGCTCCCAGCACACCTCTCTTGCCTAGTTTCCCATTTATCCCATCCCCACCAGAAGGACTCGCTCCCTCCCCCAGCCTATTGCTGACCACCTTCGTGCACAATGCGACACTACCACCAAGGCAGGAGCCTCTCCGTGGTTTCATGCCACTGGAGGTGATTTTTTTGCATGATTTCTTTCTTTCTTTTTTTTTTTTTTTGGTGCTGGGGATTGAACCCAGGGCCTTGTGCATGCGAGGCAAGCACTCTACCAACTGAACTATATCCCCAGCCCCCCAGGTGCTTTTTATTCACTGCTGATTTTGAGATTCAGTCAAGTAGATGCAAGTAGCACTTCATTGTGTGAATATGTCACACTCCTCCTTCTGATCCAGAGATGGTCACACTGTCTCCACATATTTGCTAATATTAATAATACTGTCCTTAGGCTGGGCACAGTGGCGAACACTTGTAATCCCAGTAGCTCAGGAGACTGAGGCAGGAGGATTCTGAGTTCAAAGCCAACCTCAGCAAAAGTGAGGCACTAAGCAACTCAGTGAGACCGTGTCTCTGAATTAATACAAGATAGGGCTAGGGATGGGGCTCAGTGGTCAAGTGCCCCTGAGTTCAATGCCTAGTACCCCCAAAAAACAGGGTTGCACACACATCTCCTTTTCTCTAGGAGCAGAGTGGCTAAGTCTTGGGATATGGATTTTCCATACTTACTGGACAGCACCAAATTGCTCTGGCTATGCCAATTTACACCCCCACCAGCTGTGGGAGAAGCTCTGAGAGTGACTGACACCAGCACACCCTTGCCAAGGTACAGTACATTCAGATTTTTTTTCTTTTTATGTTATTGGTGGCAAAACACAACAACATAAAACTGACCCTCTTGCCCATGTGAAGCATTTCTAAGCGTGCAGTTCAGCAGTTTTACGTACATTCACTCTGTTGTGCAACCAATCTCCAGGACTTTTCCCATCTTGCAAAACTGAAACTCAGTACCCATTAAACAACTCCATGGTCCCCCTTCCCAGCCCCAGACAACCACCACTCCACTTTTTCTCTGTGAAGCTGACCACTTCAGATGCCTCCCATCTGTGGGATCAGACAGTATTTTGTCTTTTTGCGGCTGGCTTATTTCATGCAGCGTAATGTCCTCAAGGCTCACCCACGTTGGAACATGGGTTGGACCGCCTTCTTCTTCCTCAAAAATATTTCACTGTATATCCTGAAACACCACATTTTGTTTACCCATTCATTCCCCAATAGACACTTGGTTTGTCCTGCCACTCTTGGCTACTGTCAAATGGTGAGGTTTTTTAAAGTACTGCCAATCTCATAAACAAAAACATGCTCTCATTTTAAAACTCATAGCTTGGACTTGGAGCAACTTTCTTTATGTTTATGGATTATGCATCTTTCCTATGAATTATATGTTCCTATCCTTTGACTCCTGGCTTCGTTCCCTCCCTCTCTTGACCTTTCTCTCCCTCTCCTGTCTCTGGAGCTATTTTCAAATTCCAGGCACTAACCCTTTCCTATTTATCTGTAATACAAATGTCTCCAATATATGTCTTAAGTTGGCTGGCAGGGTCTTTTGTTGTGCCCCAGTTACACATTTTAATATGCCAAGATCTATTAGTTTTGTGTGTTGGTCGTTTAACAAATTCTTCCTACCTTGAAGTCATAAAGGGATTCTCCAGTGTTATTTCTAAAAGGTAGTCAAGTTTTATTTTTCCCATTTAAATCTTTAAACTACTTGGAATATATTTCTGGGTGTGGTGTGAGATGAAGATATATCATTATCCTTTTCCATCAATCACCTGAGCAACGAGAACTGGGCCCAAAGCACCAGACAAAGTGCCCGGAATCTGTCCTGGTGCAGATAGTGTGATCTGGAGGACACCAAGGGCCTCACCCGACAGTGCCCTCTACCTAGAGTTGAGAAAACAGGGGCTACCTAAGTCACTCAGGGTGGAGGGAGAGCTCTCCAGACATCTGTCAATCACCAAGAACTCCCATTCACGTCTGAAAAGGTCGGCCTCTACAAGGGGTTGCCCTTATTTGTGAACAATACCTCAAAAATGCCGGCTAAAAACCAACTTCAGATGCTTTACACTCTACACAGCCCCTAAGCCAGGTAAGGACCCTCACTGGCTGGGAGGGGGTCTGGTTTACTGCAGAACAAAGAACCTGCTGCCATTGTCGGAGTGTCCCACCAGGTGGCAGTCTTGGGTGGACAGCCCGATGCCTTCCTACAGTTGTACCAAGCTTTAGTAAGAAACTAATTTTTAAGGTGGCCTTGACAGGAGGCAGAGCAGAGGCCTCCTTCTGAGCTCAGCAGGAGCCAACTTTCCCAGGACAGAGTAGGCCATGGAGTCTATAACCAGGGCAGGAAAATGGTTCCCCAAATGCCCTCCCCTTGAGGAGCTCATGACAATCCAGAGACAATTCAGGGCAGCCAGGATGTGCCACAAATTCCTAGTGAGACAGGCAGGTCAGGGAAATCCCAGAGCAGAACCAGGAATCCTTTCTGATAGTTAACCTAGCAATGTGGAGGGATCCTAGGGTCAGAAGAGACCTCCAGGGAGCCATCAGGCCCTGGCCTGTTTCCACCACCGTCACCTCCAACCTCAATGCGCCACACAGGTGTAAACTCTGCATGAGGACATCCTGCATACTCAGAGGGGAATTCCACCTCTCTGAGCCCCTCTACCTCCGACTCTCACTGCCGCCCAGGAGTCAGAGACTCATCCCTCCCACAGCACAGCAGCCAGACATTCAAGGAGGCTCACAGACACTGCC